GGGATTTCTGCTGTTCCCAGGTTGCATGCAAAAAAAGTTGCTCATGACTTTCGGTACGACGTACGTATATAAGGAGAAAGCTTGAACCCATTACTGAGCAAGTGACTGGGGAATATAGAGCCGGATTTTGGAAAGGTAGAACTACCACGGACCGTATACTTACCGTGAAACAGATATCCGGAAAATTTTAGTAACATCATGTGGACTTACGAGTATTTCAGATATACGTAGAATTCAGACAGGCCTATGACCATAATAACAGTGAAAAGTTACATGAAGCAATGTTCCATTTTCGTATAACAGTTGAAAATATTAGACCCTTAAGACTTAAAATGACAAGCACAGAAAGTCAGGCAAGTGTGCAGACGGAGTTAACAGATTAGTAGCGGCAGAACGAAGGTTAGAACGAGGATATGGCTTGGTTCCTTTGATACTTAATTTAGCTTTGAAATATGTATTAGGAAGACTAAGCATTGGACTTAGAGAGCCGTGATAGCGCAGTTGGTATAGCGACTGGCTACGGACTGGATGACCGAAGGGTCGCAGTTCGAGTCTCGGTAGGGTCAAGAATTGGCTCTTCTTCATGTCGTTCAGACCGGTTCTGGGAACCACCTAGCGTTCTCTCAAATGGGAACTGGGGGTTCTTTCCCCGGGGGTAAAGCGGCCGGGGCATGAAGATGAACACTCACCTCCAACCAGTGCCGAGGTCAAGAAAATGTGGATCTATATATCCACTCCCCCTTCCGCCTTCGTGATGTAATGCTTAATTAGTGAACCACAGGGACAACTTTATCTTTACCTTCAAGCACTGATCTGAAGGGGTCGATAGACTAAAAATCAACACAAGTTGTGGCTAATGAAGATGACATTTCTATTATCTCCTGGTCCTTGTCAGAGCAACTGAAACGTCAGTCAATTAGCCTTGTTAGCAAATAAATGGGCTTACAAATCAACACAGAAAAAATAACATTATTGGTTCAGATTCGTACAATAGTACAATATACAATTCTATACAATAGTACAATATAGTACAATTGTAATGGGGGAAAAAATATAGGTTGTTAACGACTTTGTATACCTGATGTCAAATCAAAGGACAAATACGGTGGGGGGGAATGAGATCCAAAGAAGAATTGGTCAAGCATTGCAACCCATCAAGGTACTAGAGGAATATATTTTTTTTCCTTGGCACTACAGCCCCAGTGGGCCTAGGCCTACCTCCATGAACTTCTCCGTTCACTTCGGTTTTTCTAGATCTTACACATTCGATAGGATCAGCTCGTCGAAGGCCTCTACCTGTACACAATCACAGAAAAACGCACACACACAAACTAAACATCCATGCCCTGAGTGGGATTCGAACCCACGATCACGGTTTCCAAGCGAGCGAAGACAGTACATGCCTTAGACCGCTCGGCTACCGTGACCGGCAGAGGAATATATAGTCAATCAAAAATAAAGTTTTCTAACGTTACGGTAAGTGGAAGCTTAGCTCTCACTGAAAAGTCAGAATCTGTTCTGGATGCAGTTAAAGAAATGTACTGAGAAGGACACTTGTCCCTTTGGAAGGAAACAGTATACTGAGAATTAGATCTAATAATGATTTATATGATCAATTTGAAGAAACAGGCATTCCAAATGTTACTGAATTAAAAAGAATGTAATAAACAGGTCAAATCCAGAGTACGGATGAGAAAAACATACTGAAAAGGATTCTGGAAGCAACATTGCTAGAAAGCGGCATATAGGCAAGCCAAGGAAATGATACGTTAATGCAGTGGAAGCAAAGAGTAGAGAGATTTTGAAAGTGAGAAACTGGGATAGAGAATCTCTGGACAGGAAAGTTAGAGGAGTCATTTAAAAGAGGCCAAGCTCGGCCTTGGCCTCACAGTGGAATCTCTGAAGGATCTCCCATTCTGGAAGGAAAGTAATTCAGTAGCCATTATTATTTGTATCTATTCTACAATCCGAAAGGTTGCGGGTTCGATTCCCGATGAGGCAGTTGAATTTTTCAATTTACCTAATCCTTCCAGCCTCACTATGGCCCAGGGGTCGACTCAAACTCTGAAACAAATGAGTACCCGGAATCTTCCTGAGGCGTAAAGGGCGGCCGACGCATAAGGCTGACAACCTCACCGTCACTTGTGAGTCTGTTATCGAGAAATGTGGGAGCCTCAACGTCTCACAAACCTATGGACTTCAACAGCTTTTTTTACGGGATACCTTTACATTTTTATTGTTATTTGTAATAAGCGACATACAGCAATTGATTTTTAACATACTTATTTATCGGTTGGCAAAAGTCCTGCAGTTCATTCAAAGTGTAGGATTAATAAGGGGTTAATTAAAGGGGAAGGACAACAAATCATTGTTGGTCGCGGTGCAGGGGCCGGATTGTGGCCTACACCTCATACATGCATACATACATACATACATACATCGGTTGGCAACAGAAAATATTGCATTCTCAAAGGATCAGATTTTCGGACGTAATCCGAAAAGGAACCTGTAGCCCGGAGCCCAAAGTGGGAGAGTGGTAACGCACCAGGCATTGATTCAGTGAAGTTGTCATTAAGATTTGAGGTCTTCACGGCGGTGACTATGAAGAAAGCCCTCTTCTGACAGTTAGCAGGTGCTCACGCTGGGTTCTCGCTTGCGGATTTTACTTCTTTTTTCTTCTACCCTGAAGATGGAGGCGATACTTTCCTCCGAAACGTCGGTTAATACAATATCTACACGACGCCACATCCCAGAAGACGACTTTCTTGATGTTATTAATTTTCCGAAAGGGGAGAAAGCAGCTTGTTCTGTAAAATATTGGGACGAGAACCGATACGTTACAAAGTGACACAGTTGAGATCTGAACCTTCTACTTGATACGTTTTCAGTGCGATACATGCAAAAAGATACGGGCGACAATATCTCAGGCTCCGCCTCGATTAGTTGTCGTCTTACGTTTTAGGCAAGTGCTGAATTGTTATGTGATAACAGATACACTGGGCAATGGCGCTTATTTCATGCATTTAGGCATCAGGCCTTCATCCGAAGCAGATCAGTACAATATTTGAGGTTTCTACAACGGTGATTTTGAAGAGTTCTACATTCCGGGATATAACACTGTGTAGTTCGTTGAAAATTAACTTAGGCTTCGGAGGAACTTATAGCCTTAATTTTCAGGGTCGAAGAATAAACGGAACAAGAAATCAGCAGGAAGCAGGCAGCAAGCTGGATTCATGTTAGATGTAGTTGTCTAGTCTGAAGGAAGTGACATGTTTCTCCAAAACCTCTGTCGATATTTAACGGACTAGACGGCTTTATATTCCATAACACAGAGCTCTTCAACTCAGTTCAGTGTAAACAGTAGGCTTATAGTAACTCTATGGAATAACAGTTGCAGTTCGTTTACTTGTAGTACATTATAATTAAGAATGTAAATCAACAACATTACTGAGGTTCCTGCATGGTGCGGTTACAGCTCTTCTGGGACAAGATGTCCTGTAGTCTGGTACAAATCCGCAATGGTGTTCGAGAAATGTACTGCCTCCATCTTCAGAGGCAAAACGTATATCGAGCAAGCAAATAGTAGAGACACTGCAGTACATTCCTACGAAACGTCGGTACACTTATACACGGCACCAAATCCAGGAAGGAAGTAATGTTCAAATTAGAAGACGAATAAATATTTTTCATTAAAAAAAATTGATCACGTTTACCATCTAAAGCATTATGATCAAGATAAAGGCCAATATAAAATAAGATATTCAGTTGCTTTTAGAGCTCTGAAATGTGGTTAAGGTATGAGCGCAGTTCTCCCTGTGTTTAGTTTATTAATCATGACCCAGTGAAGATATATGACGTAGTGGAGGAATAGCTCTAACAGCTTTAAATTCGGCACTTCGAATTCTATTGACGGATAGTTTATGTGAGATTGGTTAATTGAGACTTGTCTACAAATCTTTTGTGCCGAAAGTTCAGTTTCATATCAGCATTAACAAAATTATGTCAACAGAGATAATTCACATTTTAAACTAACTCTGATAATGAATCAACCTGACAAAATTAGGCCTGATACTCGTATTTTCATTGCTGAATGTATACGAGTAACATTTTTTTCCCCTTGGCACTCCAGCCCCAGTGGGCCTAGGCTTACCTCCATGAAACTTTCCGTTTCACTTTGGTTTACTAGATCTTAAACATTCGGTAGGGATCCTTGGGCGGGTGATCAGCTCGTCGCAAGGCCTCTACCTATACACAATCACAGAAAAACGCGCACACACAAACTAAACATCCATGCCCTGAGTGGACTTCGAACCCACGATCCCGGCTTCGGAGCGAGCGAAGACAGTACACACCTTAGACCGCTCGGCTACCGTGACCGGCATACGAGTAACATAGGAGTATTTAATTCAGATAATCGTCTCTAAATCTGGCTAATAGTAAAGTAAGTAAAGTAAAGCTATCCCTGTAACAGGTCGTGAAGGCCCCGTAGGGTTGTGAGATGTTGAGGTTCCCACATTTTCTAGACAGCCCATAGATGGCGGCAAGGTTGTCAGCCTTACGCGCCGTTCGCAAGAACGTCCAAGAATATTCCTGGTACGCGTTTCTGTTAGAGACTGAGTCGACCCCAGGACCATAGTGCGACTGGAAGGATTAGGTCAATTGAAAAAAATCCAATGACCTTATCAGGATTTGAACCCGCGACCTTCCGGCTTGTAACATAGTGCCTCAATCAACTACGCTACCAAATCTGGCTAATAGAAATGTTAATTTGAAATTACTTTCACAAAATACTTTGATGGTTTTCATTTTCGTTAACTTCTTTAACAAGCGTTCATAATCGTACCGCAGAAAGAGAATAAGCACTCAACTTGATGAGATAACACTAATCAATAATCGAAGGAATTATACGGTATCAGACAAGGACCAATGATATCATTTGTTTGAATTTAATTTAAGATTGGGTAGGAAAGAGGAAATCTCTAGTTTCGGTTTGGCTTCGGAACGAGTTCGCAGCACACAGATTCATAACAATATGTTGCGCTATGCGCACCTCAGTCACTTGATCCTCGGATTGCTTCTGTTGGCTACTTCCCTGGCACACGGTAAGCTTTCATTAGGGTCGTAACGACTAATCGATTGCTTCTTAATCGGTTATTATTTTTATTCAATTAATCACATCTAACGTTAGACTGTAGTCTTTAATTATAAACTTCATATTGCTAAGTTAGTTGTATACGTAAGCCGCGCCATAGCTCAAGCGGTTAGTCGCTGACTTCCCACCGCGGCGGCCCGGGTTCGATCCCGGGTCTGGTCAAGTGCGATTTATGGTGGACAAAGTGGCGCTGGGGCGAGTTTTCTCCGAGTACTTAGGTGTCCCCTGCCACTATTCATTGCACCAAATTCTCCATCAACATAATCACCCGGGGTGGGTACAATAGGCCAATCAGTGGCCGCCGTGCCGAGTGGACGCAGCTGAACTGCAACCCCCACTAAGCGAATTAAAAAAAATTAGTTGTATACGTATAATTTGTTTCTTGACTTTCGTAATGAAATTTAGAAAGTTGTCTCAGGAAACAAGTCTCCAGTTTTATGTTCGGAAGGTGCCTGTTTCGAATCTCGATCGGAACACCTGCTCTCCTACTAAGGCCTGTTGTTATCCTCTGTCCCTCCAGAGAAGTGACGCGAGAGAACCATGATTATTTCTACTTTATTTCTAGTTAATTATTCATGATCATCGAAGAATTTAACGCCACAGGCTATGAGTTACTGACACAATCGTTAAATAAACCGAAAATAATTTACGTGCAGACTATTTAATAGAACTTAATCAACTGCATAATCCAAGGATCACCAAGTGTATGTTCCCTTGCACCCTGCTGGCTCAGAAAAGTTTCCTTCCAGAACCTTCCAGAAAGATTTTAAGAATCTATAAATATACGTGTATCTTAATTGTTCGATGATGATCACGAAGAAGGCAGTAAATTTCTTTCTATGAGCTAAATCTCTGATCAGCTCTGAAGAGTTCTAATGTTTAGATCGCGTACAGATGTCACAATAATTAAGGGATTTTGGTGTACATGATAGATCATGAGGAGCTTCATAACTTGTACTGTTCTCTAAGTATAATTAGAATGATCAAGCCAAGGAGGATGAGGTTGGCAGGGCATATAGCACGAATCGCAGAGAAGAGGAATGCATATAGAATATTGGCGGGAAAGCCAGAAGGAAAAAGACCACTGGGAAGACCAAGATGTAGGTGGGTGGACAATATTAAAATGGATCTTAGACTGATAGGATGGGATGGTGTGGATTAGAATGATCTGGCTTATGATAGGGGTCAGTGGAGGGTTCATGTGAACACGGTAATGAACCTTCAGGTTCCATAAAATGCTTGAGTAGCTGCTGAATTGGCGGCTCCTCAAGAAGTACTCAGCTCCATGAGAAAGTAAGTAAGTACATGACCTACATGGTTACTTTTGTCATATAAAAATTTAACTTGACACAAGTAACCTGCATAGATTTTTTTATAGTCCCATTTTATTTGCAATCTCTACTAGTACATTCAGAAAATTGTTATGGTGTACTTTGACTTGAAGCCTCGTATGGTTCTTGGGGAAGTGCTTTCTATCTAGATCTTTAAACTGTAATTACTATGATTCTATTACAATAGAAATCTGGTGGGGAGATCTTTTGGCAGATGTCTTCGCAGTCGCCTGAAGTCCGGTGGCTCCGTAAGGCAGGCGGCTAGGTTGTTTGGGTGTGTTTTGAGGGAGCTGTATCCGTGAATTTGTTCTCTAACTGTTGGTATTTGGAGATCTCTTCGGATGACTATGTTCAATACGTACCAAGGTGCGACCACTATCATGCGCAAGGCTTTAGCTTGAAATCGTTCTAGAATTTCTATGTTTGAGTTGGAAGCTGTACCCCAAAGTTGTATTCCATAGGTCCAGATTGGTTTGAGGATTGTTTTGTATATAAGGAGTTTGTTGCTTGTAGAGAGTTTTGATTTACGTCCGAGTAACCAGTGCATTTTTGTGAGAGTAATTCCTAGTTGTTTCCATAACTACATAGATGAAATGCTAAATTGTCAAACACTAAATTAAGGAATGCATATAATTACTACAGAAGCTTGGATAGAGCAGTTGGTACAGCGACTGGCTACGGGCTAAACGTCTGAGAGGTCCTGGTAGGGTCAGGAATTTTCGCTTCTCAATGTCGTTCAGACGGGCTCTGCGGTCCCCCCACCTCCTATACATTAGGTACTGTGAGCTCTTTCCCGAGAGTAAAGCGGTCGGAGCGTGAAGCTCACCGCTCACCTCCAGCTAGTGCACATAAGTCTTCATGGCATAGTGCTTAATTAGTTAAGCACGGGACAAATTTAGCTTACCGTTGCCTTTACATAATTACTGTGTGGGATTAAACAATTCTCAGTACCTCCTGTAAGAGCATGAGAAATGAAGGAACGGGAATGTATAGCTTATGTATACCCGTCACTCTTTAGGAGCTATAAGAACTATCTTATAAAGAATACTAAATTTCTACTCGGTTCTTTAAAAGAATAAGAGGATATTAGAAATGTATAGACAGTAACTACGGCCGTGTAATGAGTAATAAATTTTCAGCACATTCTGTAAAATAGGTAAAAGGCAAGGTAAGGTTATCTTATACTCAGTTACTTAAACAATATGCCATGGATATGGAGGAGTGGAATTATAGCCCCGTCATTCTTGATCCAGCTACTAGGCTAGTGGGTAGCTTCACGCCCCGGCCGCTTAACTCCCGGGAAATTTGTTCCCCTATAGCCAATGAGTAGGAGGGTGGGTGGGCCCCAGAACCGATTTCGACGCTATGGAGAAGAGAAAATTCTAAACCCCACCGGTACTCAAACACCGGGCGTCCAGCCCGTAGACCGTTGCTATCTCCGCTCTGAACATTGTATAAAAGCCCCTTAAGGTGCGGCCACACAGAGCGTTACACTATGTTCGCTACCTACGCTACGTTCTCTGTGTACGCTATGTTCACTACACCGCGCGGCCATACAGAAAGCTATGTTTGGTACGAAACTGCTCAGTTTTGAATGAGATGTTGGCCGATAGTGTGCCCCGGGGGGGGGGGCAACGATGATTCCGACGATGAGATTTGCTGTTACTTTCCTTGTGTAAACGCAAAAGAAAGTTGGTGCATGGCGTGAACTTAAGAAGAACAAAGTTTGGTGAATTTCATGATCTGATAAAGCAGTTACGTGAAGATGAAGTTAAATTTAAAGAATATTTCCGAATGAATGGGGTTGATGAAAATATTTTAAGTTCTTATAGATAAAAGAACAATATTTGTACATTACCTGGTGTATTCAGTTCTCCAGAAATCATGTCCCAGGCATTATCCCGCATGTTCTGGTTCCGATATTCTTCTAACCCTTTGTTCCACAATCATGGATACTTCCTTACTCCTTCAATTAATTCCTCCAGTGTCATTTTCATCTAAGCGAATACTGCGCTGAATGATACGTAACACGTGTTGTAATCAGAGTGGGAAATTACTGAGGCGTGCAGCTGACACCTGGAAGCGGGCCCAGTGCGCGTACCCGTCCAGCGCGACGTTTTAAAAATATAGTCGAGAATCAAACACTCTGCGACGCAGCTAGCATAGCGAACATAGCGTACGTGGCGTACGGAAGTCTGTGTGGCCAGTCACATTGGCAATAAAGGAAGATAGTTTTCTGTTCGTATAGCGAACATAGCGTACGTAGCGCTCTGTGTGGCCGCACCTTTAGAGAGTTAAAATATTAAGCAGGTTACGAGAAGTAAGAGCAACACGAAGTTACTGAATTAGTGAACACAGGATTGTTGTGTTCGTCTGAAGGTGTTTACTCAGTCGTTGCCTAGCAACGGGGGTTTCTGGTTCCATAGCTTTATTTCTTTTATTGCTAGCGGGATGGGACCAAGTCCCTCGTACTGCGGCCACTTCTGGCCTATTGTACCAGCCCCAGATGATAGGCGAAGGTGATTGTGGAGCAATTGGTGGAATGAAGATTGGCAGGGTAAACCGAAGTACTCGGAGAAAACCTGCCCAGCGCCACTTTGTCCACCACAAATCCCATTTGACCAGACCCGGAATCGAACCCAGGCCGCCGCAGTGGGAAGCCAGCGACTAACCGCTTGAGCTATGACGCGGCCTGGTTCCATAGCTTAGTGCTTTGAGCAAATCCGCCAAATATCAGTTCTCAAACACACTCCCTGGCAGCACTGATAACACACCACACTGGCACACGCGTTACTCTCTGATGAAGAATTAACCAGTTTTCAGCAGACTCGAAACGATCATGAAAATTTACTGAACTGGCACCTATAATATACTACTCTATAAAAATTAAAATTTACCATGTTTTGGGCAGATATTTTTAGCAGCCATTTACGATCTTGACGTGAATGTGTTATTGTTCACTATTTCACCGTACGCGACATCACTATTCCCGTCCAGCAACTTGTCACTGACAGCTCAGAACTAACTTCTTGAGTCACAGTACGCGCTGTTTTACGAATGTACATACGTTCGCACTTGGCCCGGTTCTGCCTCACAATCAGACTCAAGTCGACTAACTTTTCTTTGCCTTGCGACCAGGACATCACGTAAATTGTATTTCTAGAAAGGTTCGGTGCTCACGCGAGGGGGCCGGAGTTCCGATGTTTCTTGAAGCGATGAAGAGACGGCGTTCTCGAACATTCGATGAACGAAAGGCTTGGGCATACTGGCATGTGATCCACCTACATCCCTTCGCAGTCAGGCCGTACGGGAAAAGGATAATTAGCTTTCAGCATACTTTCTATAAAACAGTGATAATTTACTGGACTTGCACTCATAATTTACCATTTTTCAGCATTCGTTATAGAAAAAATGAAATATTACTGAACCGGAAGAAAAAGAACAAGACTTCAGTATACTGCAGTAGAGTGATGTTAAGTTACTGAACATGTGTCTGCATTATTCTGTACAGCAGTGTTTCTGGGCCATTTCTAGCGGAAGTACACCTTGGTCTCAGAATAAAATTTCACATACCCATTTTCAGTGTCTGGTTAACTCTTACTCCAAACAAAATGTTAAATCGTATTTTAATGATAAATGATACAAGCTCCGTCCCAAGTGCAAACAATATATATTATATGTCTTTGATCTTGTTCTTTCTACACTACATGTTTCGGCCTCTATCGGTCATCATCAGGTGTATACTCTTAACGTTGCTGCCACACTGAACCCAGTCTAAAATTTAACATTTAAAAACACAATGTCACTTTCTTCGTATTATCAACATCTACCTCGTTGATATGTGTCTGGTATGTAGATTATATTGCACACGTCAAATTTGATATTCCTATAGTAGCACTATAAAATCTTTAGTTATGATGTTTTTAAGATCCTTTAAAATTTTCTCTGAATTTTAAATTTAAAATTTAAAATTGTTAGGGTTACTCGCCCTATGTCTAAAGTGCTGGAGCGGCTAGTTCTTGTTTCCACACTGTACAGGTGTTATTCTATGTAGTCTTCCTGTGTGGGTGCCGCTGCTTGTGTTTACTACGTGTCATAATATCGTATAAATATAATATCGTATTTTAAGTATGAAAAGATCCGGGGACATATTCATTTTAAACATGTTGTGACATGACGGTTGAAAGCCGGAATAGGGGAACTTATATATATGGCCATTGCTAGACAACGGCACCGTAAAAATATTTGCACGGCAAATAATATATACGCAAACAAGAGAGATAGTGTTGGAAGCAGTGCTTCCTATGTGGTCAAAGCCAAGGCATTAGTCAGCCCGAGATCGGAGTTAGCGGTTAGCATTCAAACTTGAGTTTTTTGTTAATAATCGCTACCTAGCAACATCTATAGAACAAATAGAATACATTATGTGTGCTGTAGTTATAGTGATTTATGGAATGTGTAAATCAGCAAGATTGTTATAACCATTTGCAGTTGCTGGTTATGAGTGCTCAGTAAATCCAGTTCTCAAATCAAACGCCGTGTCTACTTACGAACACATAAGAAAAAGGCAAAGCTATCCCTGTAAGAGGCAGTGGGGGCTCATAAGGTTGTGAGACATCGAGGCTCTCATATATTTTCTAGACAATCGGCTCACAGATGGCGGTGAAGTTGTCAGCTTTACGCGCCGGCCGCGTTTACCCCCCAGGAAGATTTCTGATACTCATTACTGCTAGAAGCTGAGTCAACCCCAGGGCCATAGTGCGGCTGGAAGAATACGGTCAATTGAAAAATTCAGTGACCTCATCAGGAATCGAATCCGCGACATTCCAGTTTGCAGCATATTGCCTCAACCAACTACGCTACCGCATGCCCCAGTCTCCGAACACGTGGCTAATTTATTTATTCCATGGACAGATACAGAGGTACAAAATAAAATAACCCATACTTTTTCTGTAGATCCTTTCAGTGTGTGTATGGAATGAATGCCTTACTGTATCTCTCGCGTACACCAGGATGAAGCTACAGGTACCTCCGGTTTAAACTCGCTGATGCAGAGAATTAAACAGATTTCAGTGCGCTTTGTTTTATAACAATGCGAATAACGAACTATAGCGTCTTCACTACTAACTAAAGAAAAACGTGATCTTGTTACAGTTCAAGGAGCGGCGACTCCCATTTTCACGAGGGGTGGATTGCAACTTTTCCAAAGCCGAACACGAGCAACAGACTGTCAACTGATTCTACCAGACGGGACGAACTGCACGTATCAACCTGGCACAACACCTGCGCCCCCCCACAAGGAATGCAGTTTTCCAAACGATATGGGCATGCGTAATTACTGCCTTTTTCAAGTGTCTGTCACAAGTAAACACTTGAGTGGTATTTACAGTTTATCTTATACGAACAGCTCTGGAGACTTCCAAGAAGATATATATAATCTTTATCTCCTTGGAGGTAAGAAAGGATTATTTCAACATAGTTATATATTTTTTTCAGATCAGGTTATGAAATAAGAGTCTTGATTATCAATGAAAATTTTGGGGGGAAAATTGTCACTAAATAACTGTGTTACTTCCAGTGTGTGTTTGATAAGGTGTCAGATTGAAAGTTATGTGTTGTGACAATTTTTTTCTGGAAAGAATTGATATATTAACTGAAGTTCAATTGCAAAAATTTGTCGTGAACAAAGGTAATTTTTAAGGAAATATTTATCTTGTAACATATTTTATATAAGTATCTTTTGTGTCATACGAACTCTGGAATACGTCGAAACGTGTCACAGTCACTGGTTCAGAACCAACGATTTCATCAATGGCACTACTTGAAATCTCACCCTCTTCCCCCGCTTCCAAATCATAGCGCCGATCTTCTGCTTATCATCCGTAGAAACACATCTTACCCAGAAAATATAGTGTCTTATTTCCCTGACTGCACCACAGCCTGAGAGCGCCCTATTCCCATTTAAACCAGACGCTCTGGTTAAAGTCATAAATTTCATCAACTTTATTTAAAGCATGTATAATATCAGATCGTCCAGAAGGAAAGAGACCAATGGGAAGACCAAGGCATAGGTGGGTGGACAATATTAAAGTGGACATTAGAGGGATAGGATGGGATGGTATGGATTTGATTGATCTAGCTCAGGATAGGGACCAGTGGAAGGCTCTTGTGAACATGGTACTGAATTTTCGGGCTCCATAAATTGCTGGGAAATTCTTGAGTAGCTGCAGAATTGGCGGCTCCCCAAGAAGGGCTCAGCTCCTAAGTAGTTAGTTAGTTAGTTAGTTAGTTATTGGAGAGGGTGGGTTTCCCCATGCACTGAGACCTGTATTGGTCCATTGTGCTTCCCTCTGATTTCTACCAGTCTCTATATCCTACGGGTACTGGTGCTTACCATTAGTCCCGCCCAGCCAGCGAGACCGGCTCTACTAGCTGAGAGGTATCTATAATGCTTCCCCCATTTACCAGAGGTATTAGAGACTGCTGTTGGGCGGGAAACGGCCGTTAATTTGGCTCAGTGACCTCATTTGGAGATATGAGGTTCTTTTACGTGCCGTAGAGCTACGACACGGGACCCACGGCTTAAAGTCCCTCCCGGAGGACTTGTTCCCTAAATTTTTCCGCCCTTAAAAATTCGACGACCTCCGCCGGGTATTTGAACCCGCGTACTACGAGTCATGAGGTGGGAGCGTTGCCTCTAGACTACGGAGGCCGCTAGCTTCATAAGTAAGTTAGTAAGTAATAATATCAGATCTTGCCTAACATCATTAGTTCAGGTTTTAATTATCCTGAACCATTTTTAATTCCGTAGAACTGCTAATTATAAACTACTTGCTTGTCTCCATGTTCCATGTGTTAAAGTAGACAAAATACTATGTGAGAAATCGATTGCTATTATTACTTTGAAATGTATGATTATGCGAGTTATTTTTATGACGGAAACATTCTTATCCTACAGGTGGCGTTCCTATTTCTGCATTAAGGGTCATAGAAAATGAAAATATTTATCTACGAATTGAATATTCTGTTCCGGGTACTATGAACTGTGACGTAATTTATCCGAATGGCACGACAGAGGAACTCATTTCCAGTTCCTCGCAGTCCTCACCAAATCACTGGGGGAGAAAAGGTAAATTTTCGTAAGTTCTCTACTTAACTGACATTTAAGTAAAAGTAAAGCCTAGTATTAGTGAATTTCTGAGTGAAAAGTTAATCCAAATACAATTTTTATTTCAAGATTATCGCACTATGCTTAACTAATTAAGCACTATGCCATGAAGGCGTATGTGTGAGTGGATGTATAGATCCACGTTTTCTTGACCTCGGCATTGGCTTGAGGTATTGCATTATGGAAAAGGAATTTATAAATCTTACCGAGATTAGAAGAACAATTATATTGTCACGTGTTGGGTATGTCACACGACAAATAACTTTACGTGTGTCTCGGATTTAGCGAATCTTTATTGAACATTCACTCTTACACACCGTACAATTATTATCACTTGTAATATCACTTGGCTTCTGGCCCAGTACTCTAATGCAACGTCTCAACTATCATTGTCCGTGGTTGGATCTCAACTGTCTCTGGCGGCGGCTATCCCAAGATTGTCTCGTTCTCGTCGTAAGCTCTGCTTATATAGGAGTCATGCGGACCGGATACCGGACACCGTTCCTCACGGTTCCGTTACCGCTGTTCAGACAGTCCATTGTTACGGGAACGCTTCTTATAGAATACACCGGTAACGTGTTTCGTCTCATCCCTTGTTACTCAACGACAATTCATTGCTACGTTTTGTCACTGCGGGAACTCCACAGTTTCCACGTATTTGTTGTCGCGGAAGTGTCCGGTCCGATTGTAGCGGTTGTCGCGGTGATGGACGTAAAATAACACGTCACAATATTATTTTTATAAATATATTACGATTTTGTCGAGCATTCTGTTGACTAGATATTAGCATACACTTAGCCTTCTTTATGTCTTTTTCTAGAGCAACCACCTTCTTAGGGAACTAGAGCTTCTGATGTTTTCTTTATGGTATTTATTTTATCTCTCAATGAATTAATATCATCAGCACAGACAATAAATTCTTATGTCCCATTCAATTTCAGTCCTGCCTGATCTTTTTGGACCTTCCTACTGGTGAATTCTAAAGCAAAGTTTAAAAGCAATGACATTAAAGCAGCTTCTTTTTTCAGACCATTTCAAAAGGAAACATGTTAGTCAAATGTATACCAGTATGGACTTCGTTAAAATAATAGATTCTTTGAAACTATAGCGATGTTAAATACAAGGGAATAAGAGTAACAAATCAAGATTCCATTAATGAGGAAATTAGACCAAATGAAATCCTATTAATATTAGCTACCACTGAGATGAGAATCTGTTGTCTTCTCTCTTGCTGTGTAAACACGTAAAAATAAAATATACAGAGCTATGATGTGCCTCTAAATTTGTATTTCTGTGAAACTTGTTCTGTCACATTAAGGAAAGAAGAGAGACTGAGAGTGTTTGAGAGTAGGTTACGAAGGAGAATGTTTGATTCTAGGGATGATGAAGTAATAGGAGGCTCGAAAAGTTTACATAACAATGAGCTTAATAATTTGTATTCCCCGTCAAATATCATTAGAATTATCCAGTAAATTAGGATGAGATTGGCAGGGAATGCAGCATGTATGACAAGGATGAGGAGTGGATACAGGTTACTTGTAGGAAAACACGGAGAAAATAATCAACTTGGAAGGCCTAGACATGCACGGGAGGATAATCTTAAAATGGATATTAGAGAAACAGGATGGAAGGCGTGGACTGAATTTATTTTGCTCGGAGAGGCCAGTGTCGGGCTCTTGTGAACATTTCAATGAATAAACTTGAAAGGATTCTGACGATGGTGTATGCTGTACAGAACTATTAAGCTTATTTTGGACTCTATCCATCGTCTGGTATGTATAAGACAAAAAACCACAACGTTTCGGAGACTGGATCTGTCTCCATCCTCAGGTGGATGGAGCAGATCCATTCTCCGAAACTGTGGTTTTTTGTCTTATATATACCAGACGATGGATAGAGTCCAAAATAAACCTTATAGTTCTGTACTTCAGTGAATATTCGCGTTCCATAAATTGCTGGAAATTTTAAAATAAGTTGTAAGTAACATTGTAAGAATTTCTTGTCTACATTCTTATGTTGATTGCATTAACTACTACCTATATCAGTAAATTTTAACATAATATTAGTTTTAATTTCTTATAAGAAATGTTTGACTAAGATGGTTTAAATCCTTTATTTTTCTATATGTATTATCCGTAAAGTTTCCTTTAATACCGTACGTCCCCTGCAGATGGCCAGGCAAGACGGAAGCATATCGGGGTTTCTAGCAACATGTAATGAACATATATAATGAACTACATGTATTTAGATGGCAATTTACCTCTTATTTTAACCCGGATAATATATCGGAAAATGAATCCTTAAAAATATGCTGTGAATTTCTTGGATGACTGAGTAACTGTTGGCTTCTCAGGCAGTTAATGGAGTTAATTAGTTAATGTGTTAATTGGTTAGTCACTTAGTTAATATAAATTATAATACTTTATACTGATTGAATATATAAATTCATTTTATGACGCATTTTCAATTTCACAAATTAACACAAAATGAAGATTTTATCATCCTGATAGTATTAAATAAGGCGTATGGATTTTGAAGCTCTTCATTAGACCGCGCAATTATTTTTACTTTGTCCTTCTTGTGTCTAAATGTACGTCTCAGTACTTTCTTCTCAAACAGCCATATCATGTGTTCCTCCCTCAGGTGAGAGACGAATTTTTACATACATTCGAAATGCTGAATGAATTTGTATATCTGTACAGGCAGTTCCTATGAAGAGCTGTGTCCCAGAAGGAGGAAATTTTGTAGTTCTGCATATTTTAATTTCGTTGATTGATGCAAATTTTATTTCCAGATGAATGTGGGGTTAAAATTGATGGTGTGTCCCAACAACATAGTGGCCTTTGGAAACTTTTAATCTCCAGCGATGAAGCATATATATACGACGAATTTAGTGTATATGTCACACGTAAGTATCCTTATATGTAAAGTGTATATACGGGTTATATACTTCGCAGATTGATATGTTAGTATTAATACTGATATAACATTAAAAAAGTACTCAAGTGACAAGACCTCAGTAATGAGATATTCAGAAAGTTCTAAAAAAAAAAATTCGACAAACACGGCGGCAGTGTACTGCGCAGCCGTAACTAAATTTACCTTACCGCTGAAGAATGCAGACTGGAAGCAGGCGATTACCCCCTAGACCTCATGACCTTTAGCACCCTAAGATAATTTAGGAACCCAAGACTGCGAATTACTTTCGCCTCACTACTGACGTGATAATAATTACCACTGTTCTGCCATTTTGTTATTTCGTAACATTTTTACTGTATTTCATATTTCATACTAGCAGAAGGAGGAATATTCGTCGTTCGCCTGGGATATGGTTGCTTTCCTTATCGGCATAAAAATATATATAGTAGCTTCAAACTTTAAAGAATTAATAGCACTCACATACTGAATCCATTGTTAATTAGTAATATTTGGTTAGTTAATAAGAATAGAAAACGATTTCTTGTTTCTGATATTGGGAGTACACCGAGTTATCTGTTATCACACATTTTTTAAAAACACTACAGTCATCAGCTTCAGTAAGCGGCTCTTCAATCAGTAACACAAGGCACAATGATTACGGCATATACGCTCGTGTTCTGGGCACAGAGAGACTGTATATATAAACTGAATAAACCGTGGCTATAGCCCGTAAGGGAACTATACAGACCGAGCGACCGTCGCTTGTCGGCGAAGTTAGTACCAACTTTAGCGGATAGAGGGTGTCGCAACGAATCCCCACGGCCGTTAATCTCCGTTTTCTAGACCGAAGCCGCTACTTTTCCACTCAAGTACGTCCTCAGTTATTCTCACAAGGCTGAATGGACCCCGTTTAAGACCCTCTCAGAAAATCTGGTAGCGCCGGAAATCGAACCCGGGACTTCTGAATCTGTAGCCTGGAACTGACCACTAGACCACAGATGCATATAATGACGGAAATGGCAAAATTGTTTCATCTGAAGAAACAAATACAACACAATGTCGAACTTCAAAGAATACATTTAGAATTCATCCAAAGGGAAATGCTTGCATTACTTACTTACTTACTTACTTACTCATGGAGCTGAGCCCTTCTTGAGCAGCCGCCAATTCTGCAGCTACCAAAGAATTTCCCAGCATTTTATGGAACCCGAAGTTTCATTACTGTGTTAACAAGAGCCCTCCACTGGTCCCTATTCTGATCCAGATCAATCCAATCCATACCATCCCATCCTATCTCTCTAATAACCATTTTAATATTGTCCACCCACCTACACCTTGGTCTTCCTAGTGATCTTTTTCCTTCTGGCTTTTCCACCAATATTCTACATGCATTCCCTGTCTCCCCCATTCGTGCTACATGCCCTGCCCACCTCACCCTCCTTGATTTGATCATTCTAATTACACTTGGAGAAGAAAACAAGTTATGAAGCTCCTCATTACGCAGTTTTCTCCAACCTCCTGTACTTCATCTCTCTTTAGTCCAAATATTCACCTCAACACCCTGTTCTCAAACACCCTCAGTCTATGTTCCTCCCTTAATGTCAGACACCAAGTTTGACACCCATACAGAACCACAGGCAAAATTATAATTTTGTATATTCTAATGTTTATGTTTTTGGACAGCAGACGAGAAGACAAAAGGTTCTGGACTGAATGGTAGCAAGCATTACCTGAGTTCAGTCGCCTCTTAATTGCATTATATAATAAAAATATGTAAGCAAATGGAGTCTACAACCTGCTTCTTGCATGGAAAAGAATGGTGGCGACGGAAAAGGAAGTGCTTGCGTCACAGTATTTAAGCATAAAAATCAGAAGGAATTAAAGTACAAATGCAATAAAATTAAATGTTTTTCATAAAAATATTTAAGCATAAATATAACAAAAATTAATATTTATTCTTTAATTAAAAGATTAGAACTAGGACTCAAACCGAATCCATACATCTACAAGTATAAACCAGTTTTCTTTGGGAGGCTCAAATATCGTACATGCTTGAAATAGTATACAGCAAATTTCATAATACAGTATGTTTGGATGTTCTCTCTTTTCCTTGCTATAGGATAAAACGAAATCAACAGAATTCTGACAGAAAAGTGAAATGCATCTTGTTAGATATTGGCAAAGCATGGGTTCTCTGTCACTTCAAAATGTTCCTCACTGTTAAATAGCGGATGCTATCAAATGAGAAACCATGGATGCCTCGTAATTAAATAGGTGGTCTAATAATTTTGAACATCCTTAATAGAACCATGGCTTATGCTCTTTCAGTTCACAATAATCTAGACTCTCTTTGGCAAAAATTTTTATATTCTCTCTAATAGTTTCCCAAGCTCTATTAATATCAACTTCAGTGTCTAAGTTTTCCAAAGCTGATAATCTACTAATATTTGAGATTTTAATAAGATACTACTCATTACCCTCTACCTCATTTAATTTCTTGATGTTGAACCTCTCCACATGAACTCCGTGCATTTTTTATTTACTCAATGCCAGTCTTTCCCTAACTTATGCCACCACCAATTAGTTGTCAGCATCACAATCTACTGCCCTGAACACTCGGATATCAAGTATACTTGAATGCTGTCTCCTATCTATAAAAATATGGTCAATATGGTTGTGCATCTTTGCCCATGCCCAACACCCAACCTCGAGAACTACTCCTCGTTGGTTGTCCGCGACTTCTTATTCCATATATTTGCAGCTACACTCCATATCTGGAGGCCATCTCCTCCATCCTCAATCTGAGGACGCGTCATGCCGTGGTGACAGGGCACCCACCCAACATGGGAGCACTAGCCGCTCTTTTGTTAAATTTGTTCATAGTTTTCTTGCATTACACGACTAATTCAACGTTACCATAGTTAAAAAAATTCATGATGTGTACTTGTACATGCATTCATATATACTCGTACATCGATGCACATGTACATGTCCATTCACTTGCCTTCACTGTTATTTATAAGTGCATTACCCAGTTCATACATTCTATAACTGTTCCCTTTGAAGTGATTATAATTTAATTTTCACTTAAAGGTTCGAATGCACTAATATGTGTACTTTGGCCACGATGCATATACCTTCCAGTGTACCGATACGTGAACTTCGGCCGTAAGAGTTTAGCAGCGACTTCAAATGAAACTACACGTTTCATAAAACAATAAATTAACACAGCATCACTGTGTCTATTTCAGCACTGAGCAGTATCAACACCAGACCCAGACCTCCGATAGAATGGCCTTTCGGCGGGCCAGGGAGTGTGTCCATGTCACATGCAAACAGTAAATACTGCGAACTTTGGAATCCAAGGAAAGAGTTGGTCCAGCACACGCTGTCTGGTTGCAATTATGTACAATCTATTGTTACGGATGCTGATAACGGCAACTGGACCTTCGTTTTTGGAGTGAATGGAAAGTTCTCTGAGGAGTCATTTACACAAGAAATCAAAGTTATAAAAGGTAAGGAAAATTATTTATTATTAGAGAGTCCAGAAAGTAAACTGTAGTAAATAGAGAACAGTGCGACATGAGGCTACAGAGTCCCAGCAAATAAAGTAAAACAGGAAGCAAGCTAAAAAGAAAGAAAGAAAGAAAGAAAGAAAGAAAAAAAATAGAAAGGAAAATATCGCGTGTCCTCCTACTATAACATACTCAGTTCTCTTATATCCGAATATTTTCCTCTTTATTACATATTCTAATGCTTGTGGCTCGTGTCATTCTATCAAAATGACCTATCACACTGTTACAAGAAATAAATTAATTTCTGATCGTTTAAAAATTAGGTGTAATGACAGGCTTTACAGAGAATATAGAGCAGGCACATGTGTTCATATGACAACACTGAAATGACTGCTTCCAGACTTCTGACACTTACATGTGCTTCTAATTTTCTTGACAATGTTGACTTACGTGTAAACACTGCACGAGACATAAACCTTGCATCTTATGGATATCTATGTATAATATTCTTCAGTTTCTGCAGCCTATTGTGTATTTGTAAAAATATTTTAGTAAATTTCCACACGATAACTGACTGATAAATGTATTGTCAAGTGTTAGTGACTACACACAGGCTTTGGGTTGATAATTGTATTTCTTGAACACTGGTAACCACAAGTATAAGTCTCCTTATTTTACACACACTGCAGATCATTGCAAATAAATAAAACATATGTAAAACCTTCTGTTTGTTCACTTGCCGTTGCTAGATAGCATCTGCTAACACCAGAACTCAAAACTGAGTGGACTGTCTGTCTGGTAAATTGCTGCTGTCCCTCGCCATCACTATGATTCGTTGTTCCGAGTCATAAGGGACTCATAACCATGTCTTACCGGATTGCTAATTCTGGTCCTCGCTGTATAGCCTTGGCAAGGATCAAATAGAAAACGCCACTTCCATCAGTTCGCATGTTGTTTCGTGTTTGTTTGTTTGTTGCTGCACAAACGTGTTTACCACGCAGTTGCCTAGCAACAGCCACATTTTCTTCTTCTACTATTCCGGATTTCAACCATCATGTCACAATATCAATATTATTAATTTCTAGACCACGACATTATAAAAGTGTATTGCTGTAATTTATGTACGATTTGATGATAACAGTGAACCAGTCTTGAAATAAATAATCGAAACTAACCCAATTTCCCATAGTAATATTTGTATAACAGAATATAGTACATAGTATAGAATAGAATAGAACAGAACACTTAGCTGAGACAATTTTACTGTTACCTTATACTATACACCGCTAAACATTTGTTTTGTAAGTTTCTTTCCACTTCTACAATTTTTCATAGTAGAATAGGAACAAGATAGAAGACCTGCCACACCTCTCTGGGACAGTCATAACTGTTACTCATATAAAGGGAATGTCATATATATAGTATGTAATTACAGTCAAAATCATAAAAGAAAACATTTAAGATCATGAATCAGACAAAATCAAAATCCAAGTGGCTTAAAATTCAGTGTAGGTACATTACACCAAGTATAATAAAAATTTGTCTCATATTTTGGATTCTCTTACAGATAAACAGACGAATATGGCAAAACCAATATCTCTTCTTCTATGTATACACGTATGTTTCTTAAAATGAACCTAGGAAGCAAACACAATTTCTAATCCATGTTACATCACCTTTGCCACAGAGCTCTTCAAAGTGAATGCTACCGAGTCAGAGAGGTTCCCAGGTGGATTGGACCTGCTGTGTAGTGTGTCCCCAGGAGAAATATCAGACTGCCGTTTTACTCGACCAGATGGTAAAGTGTTTCTTTCGGCTGAAGGCCTGGGGAACGCTGACTACAGCTACTTCGGTGATGGCTTCCGTAATGGGGACTGTGGCCTGACAATTCATCAGCTGAAAGAAGCAGACAAAGGATGGTGGAATTGCTTAGTAAAAACTGGGGCAAAAACAAAATCTGGTTTCCTTAACGTCTTAGCTACTGAAGGTAAGTGCATCTGCACTCCAAATACTGCTTAGGGTCATTTCTTTGTAGGTAATTTAGTGACACATCATCATCATCATCATCATCATCATCATCATCATCAGTACTCTGTCAAACGACAGGTCCACAGTCTCTTCCAAAACAATTCCTCCCCTTAATGTGATCTAGAGCTTTCTCCTTCAAATGACAGCATCCTCTTCTGTCCCCAAGGTCATCCAGCATCTTCTTACGTCTTCTTCCTCGTCTTCTTGTCACTTCTATCTGCCCCTCTATCTTTCCTTCAATAACTTCTTTTAGAAGGCAGTTTCTGTGTAAAACATGACCAATCCAATTAGCCTTCCGTTTTCTTATTTTGTGTAGGATATTCCTCTGCTCACTGACTCTAATTAACACTTCTTCATTTCTCACATAATCGGTCCAACTGATCTTCTCCATCCTTTTCCAACACCACATTTCAAAACTTTCCAGATGTTTCTGATCTACTGCCCTAAGTGTCCATGTTTCAGCCCCATACAGAGCTATGCTCCAAATGTAGCATTTCACTAGTTTCTTCCTCAAATTTAAGTCCAATATGCTGGTAAAAAGATTCTTCTTCTTGCTAAATGCAGCTTTTGCCATGGCAATCCTGGATTTAATTTCACTAGTACACCTTCCATCATCTGTTAACAAGCTACCCAAATATTTAAAACATTTCACATTCTCCAGTGGCAGGAACGCTGACCACGGGACCACTGAGGCGGTATATATTACATTTCAAATGAGAAAGCAAATTATTTATGATATATTATTATCAGTTTCAGATCCTGATGAAGGAAACCATGAAGCCCTGGTGACTCTGCAGAAGGGATCAGATGTGTATTTATCATGTAGCGCCCACAATGCGCTGGAGTACTGCTGGTTTCAACACCCCAGTGGCTATCACTTCAAGTTCTCAACAGAGACTGTTCTTTCTGGACTGCAAGAGAACACCCAGCCCCGTTCATACAAGTATGATGACACACTGCATCTGGGAATCTGTGCTATTAGAGTGGGTGATGCAGATGTCAATGTGGACTCAGGAGAGTGGACATGTCATCTAGGAGTTCCAGGAAGTCCTGAGGAAGACCACTCAGTACCGATCACAGTACGAGTGTCAGGTAAATATGCAACTATAATACAGGGTGATTCATATAGAACCGGCCCGATGAAATGAGCTGTAATAGAAAATATACCATAGAGATATTAAAATAATTTACACATATCTTATTTTGGATTGTGTGCCGTGATCAGAGCAGGTGTTGAAGTGTCCGCCGTTTTCAAGTAGGCACGCCTCCACCCGCGTTTGCATATTCACCGTGACTCGCTGCAGTGTTTCTTCAGTGATGTTTCTGCAGACACATTTCAGGATTGTCCTTGACCTTGCAGCATAAGGGCTGCCACTTGCCGGATCATGCGCACACCATTCGACTCAGCATGGCCCACGGATTATTATGTCGTAATTGTGAGCAGTTATATGCATCACTTGCGGAATTATTAGCAAATTCATTGGGCCGGTTCTATATGATTCACCCTGTAGTACCACAAAAAAAATCAAGTGAAAAGAAAAACTGTATATTTCTCAACCACGCAGATTGCGTTTTTATCAGCAAGTTCTCAAGACAATCACATTGCTACATCACTGCCATTTTGTGTGAAACCATGACAGGGAATCTGGTGCTACTGTGAATTTCCTCATGGTCATAGCTATCATTATTTACCTTTACACAGTTAGACAGCTTCCCTTTAAATGCTTCGTTGGCTAGCTGAAAGCTGAAAAGAAAGACATCTCTCTCCAGGAGCTCAGATCATGGAATGGTGAGATGTGTACTAAATACAGAGATAAAGCTATATAGCCCTCGAGAGGAGATGAATAGTCAACTTGACTGTCCGACTGCCTTCATCTTATGGAAAGATCCCTACATTCTTGTTGGACAGAAGGGTGACAGGACACGACAGCGAATATTTATTTCAAGAAATATTAATTAACAAGGAATAGAGAAAATTACATAACAAGACATTTCATAATATTTAATAATCACTTGCACTATTAGAGTCATGATATTAAGAAGTATGAGGTGGATGGGCTTAGAAATTCTCACGGGGAAACCCAACTCAGCAGTCCAGTTCTGTTCTTTCCACTTGTAGCGAAGCAACGGCAAGGTACGAGTATTTATGCTTTAGATGAATTCTATGTATTCAATGAAGGCTGAGCAGAATCAGCCAGTGAGTTACTTGGGTAGACGCAGATTTCCAGTTGATTAATTTGGTAGTTAGTTAAAAGCTCGTTAACTTGTGTTTGTATATTTCTTAGTATATTTAACGTCTTGTCAGCTGAATTTTTATGTAGACTTTAATAGGTGAAGTTTGCGAAAGTAATTTGGAATGGATATGAAAGTAATAAATATTTTAAGACCCACTTCCTAACATTTGATTGGAGTAACTTAGAAAAACAGCCTAGTTTACCTCTTCGCCAAAAACAGAACCTTGGATACCTATATACGAAGCAAGTATAGTAATATATATATATATAACATTTCGATGTTTGACTCCCTTCATTGACCATTTCTTTTGTCACTCTGTGCCTTAATTACATATTCGTTTAAAAATGCTGTTACAGTTACTGTCCATGATTTATTCTTAACATTTCAAAGCTGAGATTTTCAGCAGGAAGAAACTCTTTGTTTTTATATTTTATTGCATCTTGCAAATTCGGTTCTAGGATGTCGCAAGTGAGCAACAAGATGGCAGGATAGATTCATTTTTCAGTGATAATTTTGCACACCAGTGATGTACAGGTAATAACAACTGGTTTCAACAAGATAGGCTTATGTGAATATACTGTGTGATTCCACAGTATGGTTAATAATTCCTTTCTCACATTTACAGAAAGTGGTGTTATAAGCTTGGACAAAGAAGTGGTCTTTTCTAATGGATTCGCCGTTCTGAAATGCTACTCAGTTCCTATAGGAAAACCTCTGCAGTATTGTCGCTTCCTTCGTCCAGATGGAAATGGATTCAATGTTGTACCAGGAAACAAGTATGTAGTAAAGTTTCTGTAATGGGTAGGCAGTGCATTTAATTTTTCTGTAGGATAAGACATTTCAGGTTCTATTTAGTACACAGTAGTTATAGTTATAGTTGAATATTATTATAATGAGGCACCATAGATATTTCATATGTCAAGTTACAAATACTCGTACTATATCAGTTTATACCATTATACAGAAACATCTCTTTGTGTACCATATTGCTGTTGTTACATGATGCCTGAAAGCTGGAATAGCTCATTGCTAGGCAACGGCTCGGTAAACACATTCTTGCCTAAGGGAACAAGTGCAGCAACAGAAGAGGAGTCAACAAATGCAGCAGCCTATATTATCAAAGTTATAAATTTATACACGGTTATAAGACCCTGCATTTTTTAGCTGAGGTATTTGTTGTCGCTTCACATCTTCACGTCCTTCTGATTCGTACACGGAAAATGCACCATTCTGAATCTCGCCCAGAACACTGAATATCCTGGCTGAGACTTTTCTGTTGTTCCTCGCCCCCCCCCTCCCCACCCCAGAAAAGAAAATTCCTTGATATCTTAAATTGGACCACTACAGCTTCGTCCAAGATCCTGTAATGTTCATCATTCACTACAAGCGAATCAGTCGACGTTATATCGTCGGAGTTGTTGACTAACTAAACTAACTAATTTAATGGAGCTGAGTCCTTCTTGAGAAGCCTTCAGTTGTGCAGTTGTTCAAGAATTTTCCAGAATTTTACGGAACCCGAAGGTTCATTATCGTGTTGACAATAGCTCTCTACTGGTCCTTATATTAAGCCAGATCAATCCAGTCCATACCACCCCATGATATTTCTCTAATATCCGTTTTAATATTATCCTCCTAATATGTCTAGGTCTTCCTAGTGGTATCCTTTTGACTTTCCCACCAAAATCCTATATGCAATTACCTTTTTCCATTGTACTCGTATACTAGATATCCTGCCTGTCTCATCCTCTTTGACTTGATCAGTCTATTTATACTTGTTGATGATTACAAGTTATGAAGCTCCTCATAATGCGGTTTTCTCCATCCTCTTGTCACTTAATCTCTCTTTGGTCCAAATATTCTCCTCAATATCCTGTTCTCAAGCACTGTGACTCTGTGTTCCTCCCATAATGTCAGGGACCAAGTTTCGCACCCATATAGAGTTGTTGCCAGCATCATAAAATAAACTCCTAATAAATATTAATAAATCAATTCGCACGGCCACTATAATAATGTCGCGTGTCGGGCGTATATCGCAACAAATAAATTCACGCCGTATTTGATGTAGCGAATTTTATTTCACATTCGCACTTACAATCACCCAAATTACAGATTTACGATTACTGCTATCTGCAGTATCACAATTAGTACACTCCAAATGCCAGAATACAACTGACTAGTTGCTGGCTAACTCGGAACTAACTCGGAGGTAGCTCCAGGACTGACTGACTGACTGTGAATAGCCTTCGCTGCTCCTTATGTAGCCTTGATCGGACAATTGTCGTCTGGTGCCTTGTTGCTAGCCACGCTGTCCGGAGTTGTTGACTGCTGCCTAGCAACCGCGATATCCCTCTGTGACGTCACCGCTGTTGATTCGCTTTGCATAGCTTCAAGGTCGCGGGGACTCTGCTAACGTCGGCTACGCTCGGCTCACTTCGGCTCCGCTCGTGACGTCACCGCACGTTGCGCGTTGCATAGCTACCAGGATGCGGGGTGATTACTCGCCTATTACGCGAGCGCTACGCTACCGCTACGTGCAGCTGGGGAGGTAGGGGTCAACATGTCACAATAACATTGCTGATGGAAAATTTTCTGGTAGTAAGAAGGGAACAGATCTAGTAGACCATGATTTTTGTAAACATTTTCAGGAACGTGGTGCGCTTAGTGTGATGCGTAATAACTCTTTAAACCCTAGTGGTTCTGTATGTACCACCCGCTTTAACATAATAGAATTCTGCATTATGCCCACACAGTGCATTTTTGGTTCTTACACTGAACAGAGATTTTCCACTAACAGCATTGTCTGGATGATTTTTGTAGTGGAGGAATCAGATATTTCCTCTGTGGCACAAACTGAAATTCTATAGATAATTTAGAGCAAATTCAGTATTTAATGGGATAATAAAGAGTACAAACTCTGACAGAGAGACAGAGGCATTTCTCTATTCAGATTCCGAAGCAATAAGTACAAAATTTATTGTTTTCATTTATTCCTCTTATCCATGTATTCATCCATTCTTTTATTCATCCCAAGTTCCACACTCACACTAGGCCTACTTCATTTCTTTAACCTCAACGCTTTCCTAAGCAGTTCTTATTTTAGAAGCTCGCAACATATTTCCTTATAGTAAGAAACCATGTTTGACGGACATAAAAAACAAGTGATAAAATAATTGAAGAAACGTCGGTTAACAAAGTCACTACACGGTGTTTTATTAATAAGAAATAAGTTTTCCCTACAGATTTTGATAATGAAATGCAACTCCTTCCTCTGTCCAACAGCAGTGTGGTGCTAGGCCGGTACCAGTACGAAGCAGAGGGGTTGGAGAAGGGTGAGTGTGGTCTGAGAATACATTCAGAAAGTGCCACTGCCGAAGACATAGGAAAGTGGACCTGTGTGGCGAAGCTGCAAGGAAAGGCGCAGGAAGAACAAGACTTCATTACGTTGAGAAGGATTGGTATGTCAGCACACACTGGGAAAAGGGGAATAGTGTACAAAATACTTAAGAGACGTGATCACTTGGAAAACCTAGATGTGAATGGAAGTAAAATATTAAATACACCTTAGAGAAGTTGGTTGTGAAATATTTGACTTGATTCCGCTGGGTCATGATAAGATCTAGAGATGGGCTGTTGTGGACATTGTAATGAACATTCTGCTACCACAAAATAACAGCACTTCTTCACTGGGTGAATAACTACAAAATTAAAAAAGTAACTATCCAGTGGGTCCTGAGTTCCTCCCCTGGCAGTGAAACAACTGCCACATGAAGCAGACCTCTCATCTGCTTGTACAGCCTTGAAGGTGCGGTTCTTGCAATATACTTTCTGCGGACGGATGGATAGGTATATAATTATATACACAGACAGACATACAGATAGGCTGCACGTAGGTAGTTGGATGGATGAACATATATCAAATAAAAAAAACTCCGTAGCCTGCAGTCCACAAGTGAACTATATTGACCGAGCGACCACCGCTTGTGGCAAAGTTAGTGCCGACTTTTGCAGATAGAGAGTGTCACGTGGTCAGCGCAATATATCCCCGCGGCTGTTAATCTGGGTTTCTAGACCAGAGCCGCTATTTCGTTGAAATGGCTCCTCAGTTATCCTCACGAGGCTGGTTGGACTACGTTCGAGACACACTACTTCTCAGAAATTCTGGTAGCGCCGAGAATCGAACCCGGGACCTCTGGTTATGTAGGCAGGAACTCTGACCACGGTACCACAGAGGCGGTATATATTATATTCATTCATCAGTAATCTGTCAGACGACAGGTCCACAATCTCTTCCAAAACAGTTCCTCCACTTAATGCGATCTTCTGTTTTTGGAAAGAGACTATCCAGGAAAAGTGATAATGTAGTTTTTCCATTTGCTTTCCACATCGCAGTACAGCAGCCGTTCAAACCACTCTGGTCACGCCTGTTGCTATACGAACTTGAACCATCTCGAGCATAATTTGTTCTGTGCTTCAAGTCGCTACTGATGACGCTGCTTCCGGCATCAGTTTGAACCCTCTGTTATAGCAGTGGAATATTATATATCAAATGAGAAAGCAAATTATTTATGATATATCATTATCAGTTTCAGATCCCGATGAAGGAAACCATGAAGCCCTTGTGACTCTGCAGAAGGGCTCAGATGTGTATTTATCATGTAGAGCCCACAGCGCGCTTGAGTACTGCTGGTTCCGACACCCAAGTGGCTATCACTTCAAGTTCTCAACAGAGACTGTTCTTTCTGGACTGCAAGAGAACACCCAGCCCCGTTCATACAAGTATGATGACACACTGCATCTGGGAATCTGTGCTATTAGAGTGGGTGATGCAGATGTCAATGTGGACTCAGGAGAGTGGACATGTCATCTAGGAGTTCCAGGAAGTCCTGAGGAAGACCACTCAGTACCGATCACAGTAGGAGTGTCAGGTGAACATGTAACTATAATAGTACCACAAAGAAAATCCAGAGTTCGAAAAACTATACATTTCTCACCCACGCAGATTGCGTTTTTATCAGCAAGTTCTCGAGGCAATCACATTGCTACATCACTGACATTTTGTGTGAGACCATGACGGAGAATTCGGTGCTACTGCAAGTTTCCTCGTGATCATAGCTATCTTTATTTACCTTTACACAGCTAGACAGCTTCCCTTTAAACGCTTCGTTGGCTGGCTGAAAGCTGAAAAGAAAGACATCTCTCTCCAGGAGCTCAGATCATGGAAGGGTGAGATGTGTACTAAATACAGAGATAAAGCTATATAGCCCTCAGCAGGAGATGAATAGTTAACTTGATGGTCCGACTGCCTTCATCTTATTAAAGACCCTTAGAAGGGTGGCATGACACAACAGTGTATATTTCTTTCACAAAATATTAATTAACAGGGACTAGAGAAAATTACATAACAAGACGTTTCATAATATTTAATAATCACTTGCACTATTAGAGTCATGATATTAAGAAGTATGATGTGGATGGGCTTAGAAATTCTCACGGGGAAACACACCTCAGCAGTCCAGTTCTGTTCTTTCCACTTGTAGCGAAGGAACGGCAAGGGACGAGTATTTATGCATTAGATGAATTCTATGTATTCAATGAAGGCTGAGCAGCATCAGCCAGTGAGTTACTTGGGTAGACGCAGATTTCCAGTTGATTAATTTGGTAGTTAGTTAAAAGCTCGTTAACTTGTGTTTGTATATTTCTTAGTATATTTAACGTCTTATCAGCTGAATTATTATGTAGACCTTAATAGGTGAAGTTTATGAAAGTAATTTGGAATGGATATGAAAGTAATAAATATTTTAAGACCCACTTCCTAACATTTGATTGGAGTAACTTAGAAAAATCGTGGTAAACAGCCTAGTTTACCTCTTCGCCGAAAACAGGACCTTGGATACCTATATATAAAGCAAGAATAGTAATATATATAACATTTCGATGTTTGACTCCCTTCGTTGACCATTTCTTTTGTCACCCTGTAGGTTAATTACATATTCGTTTTAAAATGCTTGATATTTTAGACAGTTACTGTCCGTGATTTATTCTTAACATTTCAAAGCTGAGATTTTCAGCTGGAAGAAACTCTTTGCTTTTATATTTTATTGCATCTTGCAAATTCGGTTCTTGGATGTCGCAAGTGAGCAACAAGATGGCAGGATAGATTCATTTTTCAGTGATAAATTTGCACACCAGTGGCGTATAGGGAATAACCGGTTTCAACGCGATAGGTTTATGTGAATATACCGTGTGATTCCACAGTATGGTTAATAATTCCTTTCTCACATTTACAGAAAGTGGTGTTATAAGCTTGGACAAAGAAGTGGTCTTTTCTAACGGATTCGCCGTTCTGAAATGCTACTCAGTTCCTATAGGAAAACCTCTGCAGTATTGTCGCTTCCTTCGTCCAGATGGAAAAGGATTCAATGTTGTACCAGGAAACAAGTATGTAGTAAAGTTTCTGTAATGGGTAGGCAGTGCATTTAATTTTTCCGTAGGATAAGACATTTCAGGTTCTATTTAGTACACAGTAGTTATAGTTATAGTTGCATATTATTATAATGTGGCACCATAGATATTTCATACGTCAAGTTACAAATACTGTATCAGTTTATACCATTACACATAAACATCTCTTTGGCTACCATATTGCTTTTGTTACATGACGCCTGAAAGCTGGAATAGCTCATTGCTAGGCAACGGCTCGGTAGACACATTCTTGCCTAAGGGAACAAGTGCAACAATAGAAGAGGAGTCAACAAATGCAGCAGTCTACATTATCAAAGTTATAAATTTATACACGGTTATAAGACCCTGCATTGTTTAGCTGAGATATTTGTTGTCGCTTCACATCTTCACGCCCTTCTGATTCGTACACGGAAAATGCACCATTCTGAATCTCGCCCAGAACACTGAATATCCTGGCTGAGACTTTTCTGTTGTTCCTCGCCCCCCCCTCCCCACCCCAGAAAAGAAAATTCCTTGATATCTTAAATTGGACCATAACAGCTTCGTCCAAGATCCTGTAATGTTCATCATTCACTACAAGCAAATCAGTCGACGTTATGTCGTCGGAGTTGTTGACTAACTAAACTAACTAATTTAATGGAGCTGAGTCCTTCTTGAGAAGCCTTCAGTTGTGCAGTTGTTCAAGAACTTTCCAGAATTTTACAGAACCCGAAGATTCATTATCGTGTTGACAAGAGCTCTCTACTGGTCCCTATATTAAGCCAGATCAATCCAGTCCATATCACCCCATGATATTTCTCTAATATCCGTTTTAATATTATCCTCCCAATATGTCTAGGTCTTCCTAGTGGTATCCTTCCTTTTGACTTTCCCACCAAAATCCTATATGCAATTACCTTTTTCCATTGTACTTGTATACTAGATGTCCTGCCTGTCTCATCCTCTTTGACTTGAGCAATCTAATTATACTTGTCCAGGACTTATGGACTTATGGTATGGACTTATCCAGTCCATACCACCCCATCATATTTCTCTAATATCCGTTTTAATATTATCCTCCCAATATGTCTAGGTCTTCCTAGCGGTATCCTTCCTTTTGACTTTCCCACCAAAATCCTATATGCAATTACCTTTTTCCATTGTACTCATATACTAGATGTCCTACCTGTCTCATCCTCTTTGACTTAATCAATCTAATTATACTTGTTGATGAGTACGAGTTATGAAGCTCCTCATAATGCAGTTTGCTCCATCCTCCTGTCACTTAATCTCTCTTTGGTCCAAATATTCTCAATATCCTGTTCTCAAGCACTGTGACTCTGTGTTCCACCCATAGTATCAGGGACCAAGTTCCACACCCATATAGAGTTATTGACAGAATCATCAAATAAACTCCTAATAAATATTAATAAATCAATTCGCACGGCCACTATAATAATATTGCTGATGGAAAATTTTCTGGATCCAATAGACCATGATTTTTGTAAACATTTTCAGGAACGTGGTGCGCTTAGTGTGATGCGTATTAACTCTTTAAACCCTAGTGGTTCTTACCACCTGCTTTAACATAATACAATTCTGCATTATGCCCACACAGTGCATTTTTGGTTCTTACACTGAACAGAGATTTTCCCCTAACAGCATTGACTGGATGCTTTTTGTAGCGGAGGAATCAGATATTTCCTCTGTGGCACAAACTGAATTTCTATAGATAATTTAGAGCACAGTCAGTATTTAATGGGATAATAAAGAGTACAGGCTCTGACAGAGAAACGGAGGCATTTCTCTATTCGGATTCCGAAGCAGTAAATACAAGATTTATTATTTTCATTTATTCCTTTTATCCGTGTATTCATCCATCCTTTTATTCACCCAACTTCCACAGTCGTACTAGGCCTACTTCATTTCTTTAACTTCAATGCTTTCCTAAGCAGTTCTTATTTTAAATGCTGGCAACATATTTCCTTATAGTAAGAAACCATGTTTGACGGACATACAAAACAAGTGATAAAATAATTGAAGAAACATCGATTAACATAATATCTACACGGTGTTTTAATAGTAAGAAATAAGTTTTCCCTACTAATTTTGATAATGAAATGCAACTCCTTCCTCTGTCCAACAGCAGTGTGGTGCTAGGCCGGTACCAGTACGAAGCAGAGGGGTTGGAGAAGGGTGAGTGTGGTCTGAGAATACATTCAGAAAGTGCCACTGCCGAAGACATAGGAAAGTGGACCTGTGTGGCGAAGCTGCAAGGAAAGGCGCAGGAAGAACAAGACTTCATTACGTTGAGAAGGATTGGTATGTCAGCACACACTGGGAAAAGGGGAATAGTGTACAAAATACTTAAGAGACGTGATCACTTGGAAAACCTAGATGTGAATGGAAGTAAAATATTAAATACATCTTAGAGAAGTTGGTTGTGAAACATTTGACTTGATTCCACTGCGTCATGATAACATCTAGTGTTGGGCTGTTGTGGACATTGTAACGAACTTTCTGCTCCCACAAAATAACAGCACTTCTTCACTGGGTGAATAACTACAAAATTAAAAAAGTAACTATCCAGTGGGTCCTGAGTTCCTTCCCCGGCAGTGAAACGATTGCCACATGAAGCAGACCTCTCATCTGCTTGTACAGCCTTGAAGGTGCGGTTCTTGCTATATACTTTCTGCGGATGGATGGATAGGTATATAATTATATACACAGACAGACATACAGATAGGCTGCACGTAGGTAGTTGGATGGATGAACATATATCAAATAAAAAAAACTCCGTAGCCTGCAGTCCACAAGTGAACTATATTGACCGAGCGACCACCGCTTGTGGCAAAGTTAGTGCCGACTTTTGCAGATAGAGAGTGTCACGTGGTCAGCGCAATGTATCCTCACGGCTGTTAATCTGGATTTCTAGACCAGAGCTGCTATTTCCTTGAAATGGCTCCTCAGTTATCCTCACGAGGCTGGGTGGACTATGTTCCAGACACACTACTTCTCAGAAAATCTGGTAGCGCCGAGAATCGAACCCAGGACCTCTGGTTATGTAGGCAGGAACTCTGACCACGGGACCACAGAGGCGGTATATATTATATATCAAATGAGAAAGCAAATTATTTATGATATATCATTATCAGTTTCAGATCCCGATGAAGGAAACCATGAAGCTCTGGTGACTCTGCAGAAGGGGTCAGATGTGTATTTATCATGTAGCGCCCACACTGCGCTGGAGTACTGCTGGTTCCGACACCCCAGTGGCTATCACTTCAGGTTCTCAACAGAGACTGTTCTTTCTGGACTTCTAGAGAACACCCAGCCCCGCTCATACAACTATTATGACACACTGCATCTGGGAATATGTGCTATTAGAGTGGCTGGCGCAGATGTCAATGTGGACTCGGGAGAGTGGACATGTCATCTAGGAGTTCCAGGAAGTCCTGAGGAAGACCACTCAGTACCGATCACAGTAGGAGTGTCAGGTGAACATGTAACTATAATAGTACCACAAAGAAAATCAAGTTTTCGAAAAATGCAGATTTCGGCTTTGTCAACAAGTTCTCGAGACAATCACATTGCTACGTCGCTGCCATTTTGTGTGACACAGTGACGGAGAATCTGGTGCTACTGCAAATTTCCTCGTGGTCATAACGTTCATTATTTACCTTTACACAGTTAGACAGCTTCCCTTTAAACGCTTATTATTATTATTATTATTATTATTATTATTATTATTATTATTATGTGTGGGTTTCCTGATGCACTTAGACCAGTTATTGGTTCACTGTGCGTCCCCCTTTAATTTCTACTGTTGCCATATCCTACCGGTACTGGTGCTTGCTATCAGCCCGGTTTAGCCAACGAGGTCGGCAGTCAGTACCTGATATTTCTCCCATCTACCAGAGGCATTGGAAACTACTTGGGAGGGAAATTGTTGCCTACTTTTGCTCAGAGGTCTCCTAGATACATGCTTTAAACGCTTCGTTGGCTGGCTGAAAGCTGAAAAGAAAGACATCTCTCTCCTGGAGCTCAGATCATGGAAGGGTGAGATGTGTACTAAATACAGAGATAAAGCTATATAGCCCTCAGTAGCAGATGAATAGTTAACTTGATGGTCCGACTGCCTTCATCTTATTAAAGACCCTTAGAAGGGTGGCATGACACAACAGTGTATATTTCTTTCACAAAATATTAATTAACAGGGAATAGAGAAAATTACATAACAAGACGTTTCATAATATTTAATAATACTTGCACTATTAGAGTCATGATATTAAGAAGTATGAGGTGGGTGGGCTTAGAAATTCTCACGGGGAAACACACCTCAGCAGTCCAGTTCTGTTCTTTCCACTTGTAGCGAAGGAACGGCAAGGGACGAGTATTTATGCATTAGATTAATTCTATGTATTCAATGAAGGCTGAGCAGCATCAGCCAGTGAGTTACTTGGGTAGACGCAGATTTCCAGTTGATTAATTTGGTAGTTAGTTAAAAGCTCGTTAACTTGTGTTTGTATATTTCTTAGTATATTTAACGTCTTATCAGCTGAATTATTATGTAGACCTTAATAGGTGAAGTTTATGAAAGTAATTTGGAATGGATATGAAAGTAATAAATATTTTAAGACCCACTTCCTAACGTTTGATTGGAGTAACTTAGAAAAATCGTGGTAAACAGCCTAGTTTACCTCTTCGCCGAAAACAGGACCTTGGATACCTATATATGAAGCAAGAATAGTAGTATATATATATTTGTTTATAAATGCTTGATATGTTAGACAGTTACTGTCCATGATTTATTCTTAACATTTCAAAGCTGAGATTTTTAGCTGGAAGAAACTCTTTGTTTTTATATTTTATTGCATCTTGCAAATTCGGTTCTTGGATGTCGCAAGTGAGCAACAAGATGGCAGGATAGATTCATTTTTCAGTGATAAATTTGCACACCAGTGGCGTATAGGGAATAACCGGTTTCAACGCGATAGGTTTATGTGAATATACCGTGTGATGCCACAGTATGGTTAATAATTCCTTTCTCACATTTACAGAAAGTGGTGTTATAAGCTTGGACAAAGAAGTGGTCTTTTCTAACGGATTCGCCGTTCTGAAATGCTACTCAGTTCCTATAGGAAAACCTCTGCAGTATTGTCGCTTCCTTCGTCCAGATGGAAAAGGATTCAATGTTGTACCAGGAAACAAGTACGTGGTACAGTTTCTGTAATGGGTAGGCAGTGCATTTAATTTTTCCGTAGGATAAGACATTTCAGGTTCTATTTAGTACACAGTAGTTAGTTATAGTTGCATATTATTATATTGTGGCACCATAGATATTTCATATGTCAAGTTACAAATACTGCATCAGTTTATACCATTACACATAAACATCTCTTTGGCTACCATATTGCTGTTGTTACGTGACGCCTGAAAGCTGGAATAGCTCATTGCTAGGCAATGGCTCGGTAAACACATTCTTGCCTAAGGGAACAAGTGCAACAATAGAAGAGGAGTCAACAAATGCAGCAGTCTATATTATCAAAGTTATAAATTTATACACGGTTATAAGACCTTGCAATTTTTAGCTGAGGTATTTGTTGTCGCTTCACATCTTCACGCCCTTCTGATTCGTACACGGAAAATGCACCATTCTGAATCTCACCTGGAACACTGAATATCCTGGCTGAGACTTTTCTGTTGTTCCTCGCCCCCCCCCCTAGAAAAGAATATTCCTTGATATCTTAAATTGGACCACTACAGCTTCGTCCAAGATCCTGTAATGTTCATCATTCACTACAAGCGAATCAGTCGACGTTATATCGTCGGAGTTGTTGACTAACTAAACTAATTTAATGGAGCCGAGTTCTTTTTGAGAAGCCTTCAGTTGTGCAGCTGTTCAAGAATTTTCCAGAATTTTATGGAACCTGAAGTTTCATTATCGTGTTGAAAAGAGCTCTCTACTGGACCCTATATTAAGCCAGATCAATCCAGTCCATACCACCCCATCATATTTCTCTAATATCCGTTTTAATATTATCCTCCCAATATGTCTAGGTCTTCCTAGCGGTATCCTTCCTTGTAGCTTTCCCACAAAAATCCTATATGCAATTATCTTTTTCCATTGTACGAGTATACTAGATGTCCATCCTCTTTGACTTTATCATTCTAATTATACTTGGTGATGAGTACGTTTATGAAGATCCTCATAATGCAGTTTTCTCCATCCTCCTGTTTCTCAATCTCTCTTCGATCCAAATATTCTCCTCAATATCCTGTTCTCAAGCACCCTGACTCTATGTTCCTCCTGTAATGTCAGGGATCAAGTTTCACACCCATACAGAGTTGTTGACAGCATCATCAAATAACCTCATAATAAATTCAAGGGTCATACTGAAAGTCACGAGCAACAATTTTTTGTAAAGTAACATGCTTTAGTATCGACAAACCAAATACACCACCTCAATCTACAGACCTTTCTTTATTTTACACATAATTGCCACTTCTTTGTACACATTTCTCCCAGCATTCTATGAGTTTGAAAGTTCCCATTCTGTAAAATTCTGTTCCAGCCATCCGAAGACACTGACGCACTGCTTTCTGAATTGCCTCCCTTATCTCAAACGCTGTCCACGCAGCTGATCCTTCACAAACCCGATAATATGGTAGTCAGATGGTGTAAGATCAGGGCTATAGGAGGGGGTTGGAAGAACTTCCCGCCCCATCTTTGCAATTGCTTCCAATGTGAGGCCAGCAGTGTGGGGGCGAGCGTGTCATGCAGGGTGATGATTTTTCGTCCCGGACGTTTATCGCGCAATGCACGACAGAGCTTGTGCAGCATCTGGACATAACAAGCAGCATTGATGGTTTACCCAGGTTCCAGGAATTCGGCCAGAATAAACCCCTCTGCATCCCAGAAGACTGTACCCATCACCTTCACAGCTGATGGCACTGTCTTTGCCTTCTTTTTTGATGGAGAATGCAAATGGTGCCATTCCATACTCTGCCGTTTCGTTTCAGGCTCGAAATGGTGAAACCAGTTTTCATCACCAGTCACAATACAGAGCAAAAAGCATCCCCTTCGTGTCGATATCTCTGCAGCAGTTCTGAGGTGATGGCTTTTTGCTGACCTTTGTGATCTTCGGTCAATAACCACGGGACCCACCGAGCACAAACTTTCCTATAGCTCAAGCTTTCAATCATCTCCTGTACTGCACTGTGCCCTATTCCAAGTTTTTGGGCTACTGCGTCCACAGTCACACACCTGTCATCTTAAATGAGCTCATCCTCTCTTTCCTTGTTGCATTCAGTTGAGGCTGTTCGAGGACGACCACTCCGAGACTCATCTTCGATGCTGATGTTCCCATTTTTAAAACATTTCACCCATCTTCGAACACTGCTTGCACCCATGCACACACTTCCATACGCATGCTGAAATCTCTGGTGAATTTCTGCAGCAGGGATTTCCTCTTTCACAAGAAATTCGATGAGAGGAAGCTGGCATAATGACATATCATTGTCGGCCATTTTGTTAGGAGTGATACTGGTCACGTGATGCAAGCTATTGACATCACAAGACACTCAAGGTTAACACAACAGCTGGTTCCACCTACCACCATACTCTCTTTCGTCTGCTGTTCCCAGGTTGCATGCAAAAAAAAAGTTGCTCATGACTTTCGGTGCGATCTACGTACTAATAAAACAATTCGCATGGCCACTATAATAACATTGCTGATGGAAAATTTTCTGGAAGTAAGAAGGGAGCAGATCCAATAGACCATGATTTTTATAAACATTTTCAGGAACGTGGTGCACTTAGTGTGATGCGTAATAACTCTTTAAACCCTAGTGGTTCTGTATGTGCTACCCACTTTAACATAATACAGTTTTGCATTATGCCCACATAGTGCATTTTTGGTTCTTACGCTGAACAGCGATTTTCCACTAACAGCATTGTCTGGATGATATTTCCTCTGTGGCACAAATTGAATTTCTATACATAATTTAGAACCAATGCAGTATTTAATGGGATAATAAAGAGTGCAGACTCTGACAGAGAGACGGACACATTTATCTATTCAGATTCCGAAGCAGTAGTTAGTTAGTTAGTTAGTTAGTTATTGGAGAGGGTGGGTTTCCCCATGCACTTAGACCTATATTGGTCCATTGTGCTTCCCTCTATGATTTCTACCAGTCTCTATATCCTACCCGTACTGGTGCTTACCATCAGTCCCGCCCAGCCAGTCTCAGGGATCTATAATGCTTCCCCCATCTACCAGAGGTATTAGAGACTGCTGTTGGGTGGGAAACGTCCATAATTTGGCTCAGTGACCTTTGGATATATGAGGTTCTTTTACGTGCCGTAAAGCTATGACAAGGGACCCACGGCTTAAAGTCCATCCCGGAGGACTTGTTCCCTGAATTTTTCTGCCCTTAAAAAATCCACGACCTCCGCTGGGTTTGAACCCATGTACCTTGAGTCATGAGGTGGGAACCTTACCCCTAGACTATGGAGACTATNGAAGTAGTAAATACAAGATTTATTGTTTTCATTTATTCCTTTTATCTGTGTATACATCCGGCAATTCATCCGTCCTTTTATTCATCCCAAGTTCCACACTCATACTAGGCCTACTTCATTTCTTTAACCTCAACGCTTTCCTAAGCAGTTCTTATTTTAGATGCTCGCAACATATTTCCTTACAGTAAGAAACCATGTTTGATGGACATACAAAACAAGTGATAAAATAATTGAAGAAATGTCGGTTAACAAAATATCTACACGGCGTTTTATTAATAAGAAATAAGGTTTCCCTACAGATTTTGATAATGAAATGCAACTCCTTCCTCTGTCCAACAGCACTGTGGTGCTAGGCCGGTACCAGTACGAAGCAGAGGGCCTGGAAAAGGGCGAGTGTGGTCTGAGAATACATTCAGAAAGTGCCACTGCCGAAGATGTAGGAAATTGGACCTGTGTGGCGAGGCTGCAAGGAATGGCGCAGGAAGGAGAAGACTTCATTACATTGAAAAGGATTGGTATGTCAGCGAACTAACCTATGGGCCATTCAAGTCACAAAATCAACCAGTCTTATAAACAGCGAACTAACCTATGGGCCATTCAAGTCACAAAATCAACCAGTCTTATAAACTAACTTGCCAGTCCTCCAAATGACAGGCTGCAAAAACCAAAAACATATTATTCCAGGGATGGCGGGAAAACTTTTCGTTGATCATGTCAAGAGTCCAAATAAATCTAAATTTCAAATTCTAATGCTTCTATGTGCTTTATCTCGGGCATTGCACTGAAGGATTCATTCATTTGCATCAATTATGATTTATTTTACGTGTCGATTTAAACTCACTCCTAGAGTCATAGTTCCAAAAGAAATTGTATTACATGGTCTCAGTCATACTCCGGAAGAATATTTTATTTTATGTAGGTCAGACTTTTGGAAGTCACGTTTGTCATTGTGTTGGTGTTGTTCTCAAGTATCCTCAATCCATGGGGCACATGATAGTGTAGTTGGCTGATGCACTATGCTACAAGTCGGAAGGTCACGGGATTTTTTTTTCAATTTACCTAACCCTTCCAGCCACACTGTGGCCCAGGGCCTGGGGCAGACTCAGCCTCTAACAGAAATGAGTACTAGGAATGTTCTTGGGGGGTAAAAGGCAGCCAGCGCGTAAGGCTGACAACCTTACTGCCATCTGTGAGCTGACTGTATAGAAAATGTGGGAACCTCGATGTCCCACAACACTATGGGCCTCCATGGCCTGTTACAGGGATAGCTTTACTTACTTTTACTTACTCCTTCGTGAGAGTGAGCAATGAAGACATTCACACGTGAATCACACACACTTTTCGTTACACATTATTTTCTTTTTAACCGGAAATTTGTCGGAAGTAGCACACCTGCCTGTGCTTTGCATGCTTCAGTTTTCTCCCTTCCTTTGTTTTTGTTTAATTAGAATACTGATAAAAATATTTTTTAACATAGCCCTAGTTTTGTATATTTTAACTGTTAGGTGATTAGATAATCCAAATCAATTTGTGACATTTCATAACATGATAGTTTTTAGATTTAAGCTCCATACTAAACTGTGAAGCTGGAGAACCATCTCTTGAGGACTCAGAGTAAAGTGGCATTTGCTGTCTGTAGTTCATCTGTTCATAATCTGAGGCCATACAACGCTGTGGTGTTCTGCTTTTTTAGTGCAAGCAACAGATGTAGAACTCTTAAACCAATTTCCCCTGCTGACAGCCAAGAGGAGGCCAGCATTTCATTTGTATCTGTCCATCATATGCTTACATCTGCATCGTATTTGTCGTGAATGGGGCATAGCCACAGCGGCAATTTCTCTCACAGATGCTTAAAATAAATTTAATAATAATAATAATAATAGCAATAATAGTCATATGCTGGTGTTGATCCTATCTCACAAGTACGTGTGTCCATAATGTTATTATTACCCACTGTGGGTACCTAAAACCTACGAGATTTGGGCAACCCCAAATGCCTTAATGTTCCTGCCAAATTATAAAAAAGGCCAATTGTTTCAGAAATTCGAAGGAACACACAAACAAACGGCATGTTGAAGTCATAATCTGACATTTAGGAGGATACATACCGCCTCCATCTTCAGGGTTGAAGAGTAAGCCAAGCATGAAACCAGCAGAAGTAGGTAGAAAGTTGAGCTGAGCCCTGTGTAGTTCTGAGAAAGATTGACATTTTGGAGGAACACACCGTTGTCACATTCAATGCTGAGGAGCAAGGCAAGCAAGAAACGAGCAGAAGTAGACAGCAAGCTGAACTTAGCCTCCCGCCTGCTTCTGCTGGTTTCTTGCTCAGCTCTCTCCGAAATATGCGGAGTTACATCCCAGAAGTCCGAAGAACTTCGTAATCACCGCTGTGAGAAACTCAAATCCAATAATGGAATTATTTGTTCATAGTTTTGTTTCGTTTGAGGAAGTAAATCGTTATAAGTATTTATTTTATGATTGCAGGAAGGGAGGGGTGAAAGATCTCGACCTTGACAAAATAATTAGGAACATATGTCTCACGTGACCGTTATTCGAAACCTTTTATAATACGATATTGATTCAGCTGTGAATAAACTTTCTACAGTTTCGTTTGAATCTAAATTGAATTTCATCATTGTTGTAATATCAAGCAAAAATATGTTTATTAGTATTGCTATTATTATTAACAATAATTATGTTACAAATAATTTTACTTTGTTTCAGTAGAACAGCAACAGGATGAAGGTTTGTCTACGGGAGCCATCGTTGGAATTGCGACAGGAGGGGCTGTTGCCATCCTGCTGATAGCAGGACTTACCTTTTACTTCGTACGTCGGAAATCAGCGTAACAAGGATAAAATTCTTTATTATTCTGTAACCTATTTTCGTCATCACAGATTGGGGTCAAAATGAAAGTGAACAAGCCTCACCTCATTTTTGCACGGAATCCACATCTTCGGCAAATTAGTCTGGCATATCGTTCGTCCTAAAATGTAATGCTTCCTTCGTATAAAGAACATTAAGTACTATGTTATTAAAATTAAAGTTAAAATATTACTGCATCAAATATTAAAATATCAAAACACTGAAGATTTTACTATGACGACATATTTCTCATATCCAAATTTCCGAATTCAGGCAGTGTGCTTGGCATTCTTGCTTAAATTCTGGAATTTATTTTCAGTATGATCTGGTGCTGTTGTTCCACTTGTGTATTCTGCTGGTCTGCGGGTATGCATTGTTTTGTTTCCTATGTTCCTTTTATTCTTGTGGCTTGATCAGTGCCATATTTCTTTGTATTGGTGGGTGTCCACATACTGCTCAACACCTACATTAGTACTGTCCTTGTCAATTTATTTATTTATTTACCTTACATTAGGGAAATTTGCAAGCTACTACCTACCTTTCTTCTCTCATAACCCAAAAAGAAAATAAAAAACAGAGAACAAAAGAGGATGATAAATGTGAAAAATATAGTATATATATATATCTATCTATATTTCTCTAAGTGAGATAAATACAGGATTTTCAATAAGAATGTTTGTGACAATTCTTTAAAATTAACAAAAATTAGTTCTGGCGATATTAGGAAATGGGTCCAAATACCACCATAATAATTGAAGGCTTCGTTGTGCCTAGTTTTTGATCTTAAACATACTTTATATAAAATGTTAAATAAGTAATAAACACATAGAATTTACATAATTTATCTGTATAGACTATGCACAAAAAAACATATGTCATAAGAACTTGCAAAATATTTTTACCTTCAGAATTATAACAAAAGAGATTCCATATACCTAAAAATGAAATGGAAAGATCACATGTACATGTGACAGATATGTTAACTGAAGAAAGCAGTCTTCTGGGATTTGGCACCGTGTATAAGTGGTGTTAACCGACGTTTCGGAGGAACGTATCGCCTCCANAATGAGAATTAATAGAATAAAAATAAAAAGAATATGATCAATGTGACAATTGTGAGGTTATTGTTTATATAAGTGCCTGCATACAGGAAAGCTGGAATTCGATTTGCTGCATCCCTATAACCGCAAACTTACTCTAACATCATACGAAGATAAGTACTTACACAGTTTTTCTAATCATGCCTACACCAAGTAACAACTATTATTGTAACCTTAATATTAATATCAAATGTCAACACCATTATTGCAACTTCTAACAAATTCACATGAAACTCTCATGTGACTAATGGTAATACTAATGAGACAGCGCAAAACATATACTTCTGAGAAAGTGGTTTAAGATTTCTAGCATCATTCTGTGTTAATTATATAAACAATATTTTGTTGAGGAGACAAAGTTCAGTGCTATAACAGTTATAATTAAAATGAACTGTATTAATATTTATTCATTTTTCACCATCTCTGAGAGAAGATCAATCCTGCTAGCCATTTTATGGACCACCAATCAGTGCCAGTAGAGCCCGTTTGTAGTCTCCAGATGTTTCATTCTGGAAATACATAAGTAGATATGGGAATTAAAACCACTAACCTTTGGTATGATGTATTTTAGGGACTAAATGTGACCGTGTAGTTTTAAATAACACTATTTCTGTAAGAGTTGCATATAACGTGTCACGATAAAAACTGAATGTAGCATCTTACGACGATTCCTGCCATTGTCATCAAATCACAACATTTTGCTCTCACCATGCTGTTATTTTCAGTTTTCTGAAATATGCGTAGACTCATGGTACAGCACACTGTCTTAATAATGAATTTTAGTTAATAAAGTAACAACTCAAGATATTAAAATATAGTTCTATAACCCATTATTAAAATACACAAGGGATATATGCTGTCACATGTTTGCGACTAGACATGGGGTTTGGATTTGTAACTGAATTTATACTGAACCCCTATAACTTGTAACTACAGGTAACTATATCAGTTTCACTGATCTATGCAATCAACAAATCACTGCACTGCAGTACGCATTAAGTATGCCATGTCTTCACAAGTCATTGCCTGGTAATGGCTTCGAACAGTGCATACTCCTCTGTTTCCTCTTCAAATTCTCGCTGGATGGCAGCTGGCTTGCAAATAATTCATGACAGCAACTCCTAGCAACTCCTGGCAACCTTCACTATACAGCCTCACCACAAACTGCATAGAAAACACCGCTTCCAACAGCTCCTCTCTTTTTGTGTGCATATGCGTTGCTGTGGACACGTGTTTATCAAGCCGTTGCCTAGTAACGGCCATCCCTTCTGGCTCAACTATTCCGCTTTTAAGATGTCATGTCTCAGTATGTATACTGACTTAGAGACCAGCTAATCTAAGTGAGGTCTTTGTGATTTCACTTAATCCCCCAATACAAATTCTGGTATAGCACAGTACATAAGGCCTATAATTTCCAATTCATCATTCACACATCATCTTATAATCCAATGTTGTAAAAATATTCCAAGCGGTTAAAAGCATGTTGTAAAATAACATAAAAATGAATCAATCACCGTCAGTCAGCTTAAACTATTGCAGGCCTGGTAGACTCCTACATCACTAGCTCAACTGGTTCACGGACAGAAAAGTTAAATGAATCAGTCCATATTCTTTCATTACTGTAACATGATTCAGCCTACCCTGACAGCACTTTCCAGTGTTTTGTCATACAGACGCTCAAATTCCTGCTTGATATTCCCCAAATCGATCTCACTGCGGCTCACAATAATACGAATCAGAGTCGTATCATCAGTTCCTCCTCCCGCCATGACCTTGTGGAGTCGCTTGGCAAAGAATTCTGGTGGACTCTGGACACATTCAACTGCAAATACAGTAAGGAATCCACAGATATTGCCATTTGAATTCATCTTCCCAGAGGATAATACAAAAACAGGTCAAAGATTTCAAAACAAATGGTACAATATTATCACGAAATTTCACAAGGGTAAGCAAATGTTGCCCAATGGACTACCACAATTTTCATCCCTAATATTTCACAGTTGCCAAAAAATGCCAAAGGGTTCACCATTATGCTGTAATACAAAAATAAACACAATTCATGCAGACATCCACCAAAATTATCATAGTATATGGAGCATTAATTTTTAACATTATAGAAAATGTATCATTCATATTTTACTGAGACTACACAGCATCATATTGCAAAACAAGATCACATTCTGGATGTAAAACATGGGTTACGAGTAAGGATTACAAAGCAAACTGTACATGAGATTTAATAAATTGCTAATGGAAATAACTTTATGAAATATGAAGAAATAAGACAAACTATTAAGACAAATTCAATCATGTAAGTTCTAATTGAATCAGAGACATCTTGGAGACTGAATGCAAAAGATAGAATATTTTATGGATTCTACCAGGGAAGAAAATTATATAGGAAGGTTTCTGAGTAGATGGAACGATAATGTAGCTTCCATACCTTGGGAACTACTTAAGAGCGCCAAATAATTATGGAGGGAGAAAAATAATAATAATGAGGAGGAGGAGGGGTCATTTCAATTAGCACACTGTTATCAAAGTCACAAATTCGAAAGTTTGGTCCAGCAAAATTAAAGAGATTTACTTATTTATCTTATTTATCTCTCACCTATGGCCAGCATGGCTTCCAGCAGTTCTCCTGACAGTTCTGCCTGTAATGCTTGTTCAATAGTACGTCCAGATACATTCTTATATTCCTCAAATATGAGCTTCAATTGAGGAAAGCTCTCATGAGCCAAAATCCGGTTGAACACCTCTTCATCTGTTCCCACTTTCAACTCACCTAGAGTGCAAGTAGTATGAGATAATTTCATAATTTATTTTTCTTGTAGTTCACTAAAGAAAATAATATTAGCTGATCAAAAATTTAAAAGTCTTTTAGATAAAAAAAAATGAGTTTGTTGAACTCTTAGGCATGAGTACATATTTAGTTTTCTGTGAACAGTATAGTCAGGTACCGTGTGAAAAACAAAATAAAAAAATGACAATAAATATATTCAGTTATGTATCATGCGATGAAATATTTAAGCAAAACAGAAGATCTCATTACTTATTTCATAACAAAAATTTACAAGATGGTTTCTGGACATCAAAATAAGTTAAGAAGTTCATATGAATATGTACCCTGAAGGCACTTTTTAAAAAGTTATAACCATTAGAAAATATCAGCTCTTGGCATCCCCAGCAACACAGCTTTCCACTAACTTGTGGGTTGGAATTTTTTATGTAAAAAAGTAAAAAGTAAAGCTATCCCTGTACCAGGCCATGAAGGCCCATAGGGTTGTGAGACGTTGAGGGTCCCATATTATCTAGACAATCAGCTCAAAGGTTGTCAGCCTTATGCGCCAGCCGCGATTTACTCCCCAGGAAAAGAATTTTGGATGACTGCCCCACTAGACCCACACATTTTACTGTCACGTGTTAATGGCCATATACATCTTAATTTTTTTTTTAACATATTCAAAAGAAGTATTGGAAGATGTGTCATTCAATATGTGTCTTCACATGTAGTTTCAGCATGACGGTGCTCCAACACATTTCAATTGTCAAGCATTTCAGTGGCTACCCAGAACCTGGATGATGCAGTTGTAGTGAAAGTGAAACTCCAGTTTCCTGCCCTGTGGCTCACCTGTCTTGAATCCTCTTTTTCTGTGGCGATGTTTGAAAACAAAGGTCAATACCAGAGCTGGCAATACTAGGTGGGAGCTGTGGTGTCAAAATCAACAATTTGCAAAGTGAATTAAAGAATACAGCTAAAATCATTGAATATCTAAGATTTCTTTCTTCAAGTACAGCTGAGTTGTGTGTCCACGAACACTGAACCCATTTCAAACATTTTCATAAAAAGTAAGTATAAAGAGTTTATTAATAACTCCTTTGGTTTTCTTTTTATGTATAACCTACTGAACGCAGGAAGTATTCAAGATGTGACCATGAAGTTGAAATTAGAACATCTGTAACTCTTTGAAGAAAGCTCTCAGGGTACATATTCATATAAATTTCTTTTATGTATATTGATGTACAAAAGCTATTCTGTGAAATTTGCTGTGTAATAATGGGACACCTGTACATTCAGTCGGGTATTGTGTGAAGAAAATGGAACAGTCTCAGAACCAGTCAGGTACTGTGTGAAGAACAAACTGAAACAACTTGAAAACAAATCTGTTCAGTCAGATATTCTATAAAGAACAAATCAGAAAATGAACGTGCTCTTTGCAGATGCAGAAGTAGTATGCTGAAGGCCAAAAAATGTGCTTGAGACTGTATGATTTAACATTTCTACACAAAGATCAAACTCAACATTAAAGAAACGAAAACCTTAAATGGAGAAAATAAAATTGCTTATATCAAGCCAACAGGCTCTATATAGAGCACACTGTACTTTTATATGTTCCAGAAAACAAGAAAAATCTATTTTTCTAGGTTTGACTCCATCAGATGCTACAAAGTGTTTACCAAATAACATGGATAAGACCACTTGTAACCAGAATCCAAATGAGAGAAAACCTTCAACCAGGGAACACTATATGTGTCTAAAATAATATTTAATTTAGTTTTTACTTTAAAATTTGAAATTGTTTTCATTTTTCTACAAATTCTTCACACCATTTTTCCTCGATCTGTCTATAAAATATAATCAATGCAGGATTTTCTTTACTGTATACAACATATGTTGCACTAACATTTTTTTTCTGAGAAGCATCATAGGTAAGAAATAAAAATGTCATGAAAGTTGTCAAAAGTTGTGACCATCTATATTACATTTATCTTAGTTGTTTACTTTTCTAAAACAATATGTGTTTTCAAAACAATGAAAGTTCATAACTATGTTGTACTGACACATCTTTTATGGCAGAAATAATAAGAAATAAACTAGATTCTAAAGGGTTCTGATGATGGGGGATGACACACAGAGTTATTGGGTTTTTGGACTTTTTGCATCATCCAGAATTCGTCTGGAATACCTACCATTCCAGATGATGGAAAAAGTCCAAAAACCCAGTAATTAAGAAGTAAAATGTTGTCCAAAGTTACAGTTATCTTTTTTACCTCTATTTTTGCTGTTCACTTTTCTAACCAAAATGATAGGTTGGTTTCAATACAACAAAAATTTATTTTGAAGAAAGCAGTCTTCTGGGATTTGGCACCGTGTATATGTGGTGTTAACCGACGTTTCGGAGGAACGTATCGCCNGGGGGGGGGAGGTACTCAATAATACAATCTAAGGGTTGACAAACAAACCTCCAGTTACCTCAGAGTAACTAAAACACTAAATATTACAAATTCTATAATAATTACAAACATAAAAGAACGAAATCCAGTACACAATAAGATGCTACAGACCTTATACCATGAAGAGCACATGAAGAACTCTGACTAAGTATTGAACTGCATCATTCCCTACCTGACTCATGCAGCTGAGTGGCCATTCTCACAGCATACTCAGAGGAGGGTGAGCGATTATCATCCTGCTTCTCCTGTAAGTATGAGTATCACTAATTCCAAGATAAGGGGCATGAAGTAAACAGGATTTGTTTGCAGATATATTCTCATACTGAAGAAGGCACAGAACATATTTTTCCAGTATTCCTCTATAAATACAACTTTACATGCACAAAATTAATAAAACTTCACAGAAAAAAAATACCTATGAATAATGAAAAAAATAAAATCTGTTACTTTCACAAGAAAACATAAACCGATCACTTCAAAATTTCCTAATAACAGGATCTATGAAATGAGATCCAAGTTTTATTAACGAAAGATAAGTGGCATTGTCAAAGCAAAGAAAATGTTACTTGTTAAACAGAGAAATGAAATATGATGGAAAAAAAAACTCCTGACATTCCTTTGTGTTACCTAACAGATACCAGTATTCCTTGAAAAGTACAATCAGGAACGTCATACAAGGCAGTAAACTGGCCCTTAAGAGTCTTATTAATTTCTTTATTTATTATTTTATTTAATGACATCAGTAGCTCAGACTATCCAGTGCAGAAAGATTGGATGATTAATAAATAATTAATTGGAAGGAATTCAGAAAGAAATGGTCATGGTATGATTTCAAGTAATATCGCAGAATGAGTCTGGAAGGATTGAGGAAAACCATGAAACTGCCCCAGATAGAACAGCAGATCCCCAGTTATGAAGCTTGTCTGGTAGCCACTTGACCATGACATTAGATTTTAGAATATTAATTAAGATTACCAAATTATTCAATAGCAATATTTGGAATATGAGAAACAAACAAAATAACTGCTCTGTTACATTTACTGTCATATGCCTAATATCTGTAGCCGTAAAACTACAGACATTTTAATGGTGGTATGCAATGATATGTAACATTTGCACTTGAATTGAAAAGTACCACCAAATATGAGTAGAGGTACCATTTTTTCCTTCATAAATAAATAAATAATAAAAAAGTTGAAAGGTGTACTCCAACAGAGACATGCTACTTCTAAACCTCAATGGTCCTCATGTCCAACTGTTGGAGATAAGCTTCAGTGTAACAAAATCACATTACAGATATGACACTAGAATGACAATGGATAGAATATTAATTTTCCTTCTAAAGGGTTCTGACAATGGTGTGTAATACTCAGAATTACTTTTCATTGCATTAAATTACATATTCACATACCGAAAAAATGTATCACACAAAAATTGTAGCTATAGAGATTATATTTTGTCATGTACTCATTTTATTGCATGATGATTATATTTTGAGAATAATAAGAACAGTAAGTTTGAGTTAAAAACAGATTAGCAGTTAATACTTTTCTACCTTGCACCAAACAGTAAACTTTAGTGAGGCCACCTCCCTCACTGAATAACAAATTGCAGTGAAATCCATGAAACAATTTATGTGACAAAAACATAAATAGGTAGAAACATGGGAAAAGATATATTTTAGAATTTCATTGATTATCTTGAACAAATAATGAAGATATAGTTTGTACTGATTCAAAAGCTGCAATGGTAGAACTTCATGTGGAAGATAATGTACAGATGTCAAACATACAAAGAAACTGGCTGCAATGCTCATGTGCTCAAATATCTCACAAAGTCTATGAATAACTGCAATTCATCCACCATGTCCTAATATTAAGCTTAACTCATAACCATAGCGGAATGTAAACAGGTACATACTACTTGAATTTGGTCCTTCTGAAGTAATCTTTGTTCTATAGTTCTTTGAAAGTGGTTCCTAGTCCACATATGTTAATTTGTTTCTTGATTTATTAAAGGGCCTTGTTATAAAATATAACACCGGAATGTTGTTGGAGCTTTAGTAACAACAAGAGGAATAATGAATGATTCTATAGCCAGATTTGTATTTCTGTATTTATAATTATTTATATTGGGTATTTTGTAACTTTTATTTTATTTTATTGTATACAAGCATTGTAATATCTTATTTTATATTACTTATTTATATTGTAACTATTATGTATCTCTTATTGAATTTTATCATTAATATGTATGTGCTAATAATGTATGACAGGACTGTTTTCCACTTGTAATTTACTTGTAATGGATTGTATTAGAATGTTTATGATATTTGTACGACAAGTTGTATCTTGTGCCAAATTTGTAACCAAGACGATCTCCACATCCACATGAGTTTGTAACTCCTGATAGGATTTATGGAAGTGAAATAAAGTATGTATGTATGTATGTATGTATCATTATTCAAGAACTTTTACTGGATTATACTAATCCTCATTACAATGTCATGCACTGTCAAGTGACATGGATGAAGAATTGGACAGCACTAGGATTTAAGTAGGAACACAACATTCAGTAATAAGGGTGGTATGTATATTAATTTCTTCTGTTGAAAATATCTAAGAGAACATGTGATCATGTATGAGGATCTGGTGACTCATGGCAAGGCTCTGAATTTCTGTACCAAAGGTCTTGGATGAAAGAGGGCAGTTTTCTGCATAGCATTCCATTTCCTATCTCTGACAACAATAATATGAAGGGCAGAGTTATGAGGTTCCACTTGTGATTTGGAGCCTTCTAGAGCTGTGGGTTCTCTTGACCAGTCTATCATCTTTCTACCATCAATGACAGCTGAGTCTGCCTGAGAAATAAATTCCTTAACCATTGTCAAAGCAGGCAGATACCAAGAAGATTGAGATAAGACAAAAAGTGGAGGCATTAGACAAAACATTTGTTTATGTCAAAATGTGAATGAATACAGTGAAACTTATCCAAGAAGACCATTAACCATTTTGCCTGTAAATGGGATTTTATATGGGTCATCTCTGAATAGAAGGTGGATGTGTGAGAATTTTGGTAGTACAGTCCACTGAATACTATATAGTATATATATTACACAGTAACTGTACTGAACGAATTTATTTCCCTTAATGTTATTTTACATGAATAGCAGATGAAATAGATAATAGTTATAATTACAAAGCATAATGATCTTATAAAATTAAAAATGTGAAATTGATGTGTACACCAGGGATGGGTATCTATTCTTAATTGCCGATCATATAGGGATATCATAAAAGGAATATAGGTAAGAAGGCCTTATGAAAAAAAAAATTATGGAGGTGAAAAAGTTTTAAACGGCTGTTATTTACTTACACATAGAGAACATATAGTTCACAGAATTATGTATGTCCATATAGTCCTTCTTGATAAACTGATAACAGCTTGGGTGGTCAAGAATTCCCATCTTTACAGAATATAAAGGTTCACTATCAGTTTTACAAAAGACTAAAACTGGACCAGTTACATCCTGTTCATTTTAATTACTGTGGGTATGACATATGAAATTCTGGCTGGTGTTCCCAAGATATTTCAACATGTTTTGAAAAAAAAAAAATTGATCTCCACTTGATCTTGCCACACCAAATTACTGAATAAAGTAAGCAAAAATAGTTAGTATGTGTACTAAGTGATCTAGAATCGCATTTTCATTCAAATATCAATTTTCACTTATGCAGTCAAATGTTTGAGCAATTATAATATTTCTGTACTCTGTATGAGAAAGAGAAAATATGAAGGGCAGCATTAATATCTGACATCCCACTGAGTAGCATTTAATTTTTTGCCAGCCATCTCAAACCTGTCAGGTGTACCTTGCCCACCAATGGTATAAGCCAACAGCACATATATTTTATTTGTTTCATTCTGGTCCGTCACAATAACAATTACAAATTATAAATCACTCCGTCCAATGTGACCTGTAAGTTTTTTACTACGCAAAAACTTAACACCCTTAAATTTACATGTTTCGGTCTCTGTGGACCATCTTCAGAGGGCAAACATCACTACAAATAGGAAACCGCTATCACATAATTTGTTTACACGCAAAGTATGTACACTTATATGTTACAACACACAGTACACAGAATAGAACGTTTCACAAACACAGCAGTTTCCTGGGAATGTAAGTTTTAAAAATGTATAAGATTCCTTGATGCTAATTTATTAAAAGTTTTTTAGATTGTCAATGATTAAAATTCGTAAACCATGCAGGCTCGTGTTCGTCCTCCCATCGTCTCTCTTATATGGGGCAGATATTGTGCCACCTGGCTATCTTGGGTGTTAAGTTTTTGCGTAGTAAAAAACTTACAGGTCACATTGGACGGAGTGATTTATAATTTGTACATATATTTTACTTGTACATAAAATGAGATGATTACATCTTTATGAAAGATTATGGAAAGTAAAGCATACCAATAAAATGATCATACATCCTTACCACCGATGCTGAAGTCAAGGAAAGCCACAAGACTTGCCATAAATAACATAAAGCAAATTATGTATTAGTAAGCATAAGCACGGCCTTACCTTATATAAATTTGTTCCACAACCATGCATGGATAGAGGTATAAGGCAAAAGAACATATCTCATGGTGCTACTAAAAGTAAACCATAGTGACAAATGTCAATTCCATTTCACATCAAGAAATCTGTTTTGGGAGATGTTATGAATGATAAAATCAAACAAAATCTACTGTTACTATATAGATTATAATATCAGCAATGCTGATAGCAAAGTTATTCCACTGTTAGGCACTTCATTTTCAGAATTCATTTAATATATTAAAAAAATTATAACAATTCCAGATATTTTATAGGGACATTTGAATCTGTAAATGCTCTAAATATGGCCCTGTGCATCAGTTTGCAAGAAGCAATATATATCCAGTTATTTTGTTTTATATACAGATTTCTCAATCAATATGTTTATTCAAATTTTACACTCCCAACACTCTTTAACACTATTTCCCTGAGGCCCACATTAATAGAATCTTCCCATCCATATCTTAATCCTCCATTCTGTCATTTTCAGTTATTTTTTGCACAAATATTTTATTATCTCTTTCCCCTTATGTGAGCTTCAAGTCCAGTCTACCATAACCTCCATCATTTCTTCTTAAAGATTTCCCATTTTCATAGGTTCCCAGTACTGTAACTGTTAATCATTCCAATTTCTTTGATTTCCTTTATAAATAATTATAATCTGAATCTTTAGTATCAGCCTTTCAAGCCTTCCAATTTGTAACTCATTAATTTTTTTGCAGGCGCTCTCCTAATATTAGAGAGGAGTCAAAATCACAACATTTCTCATTACATAATTTTACCCACTTCTATATAATACCTTCCTTCCATAGCACTTCTGTTTTCAGATGCTTTCAGATTCTTCCTCTTCAGTAGGCGACAATAAAACACAATCATGGGGAACCAAAGTAAACTAAATTAAATATACCAACTCAATGGTTGAGCATCTTTCTTGGATAATAATAACGCAGTTGGTCTATAAATTTCTCACATTCCTAATGGTTCATTATCATGTTCAAAAGAATTGGCTCTTAGACCCTACCTGAGAACCAGCTGAATCCAATTCACACACTAATGCCCTATGTCTTAAGATTTACAGTACTTTAATTTTATCCTTTCACCTATTCCTATAGGTCCCAAGTGGTCTCTTCCCTTCCCTTCAGATTTTCATACTAACATTTCTGTATTTCTCATTTCCTGCATGTAGGCTACATTTCTGCCCATTGCATCCCTCTTCATTTAGTCATTAAGGATACTAAATAGAAGGTAAAGTTAACCCTGTGTTTAATTAATTAAGCACTATGCCATGAAGACATAAGGAGAGTGAAGGTATAGCTCCACAGTTCTTAATTAACAAATGTCTCTGACATTCTGTCTTAACCTTGGCACTAGGTGGAGGTGAGTAACAATAATACACAAACAGAATAAATTAAAAATTCTACTCTTTTGTTACTTTATCTTGCCTTTGAAGTAAATACCTTCCTTGGAATTTTCTTTCCAGACATCCTAAATCTGTGTACCTCTATTAACAGCAACAGAACAAGTTTTGCTCTTATATAAAACAACAGGTGAAATTATAGTTTCGCATATTTTAATTTTTAGGTTTTTAAATAAAATGTGGAAACAAGCAGTAATAATTGTTTCATATGTTCTATATATTTTATATGCTTCAATGTTTTGGAAAGTAGAAAAAGAACATGGTAACATGATCTAAGCTTGAATTTTAATAACTTTTATAAAGTGAATGCTTGACTGCATTATACAATGAAAGGCTCCAGAGCTAATCTGACCCTGACTCACTGACCTTTTCCAAATAGTCTTTCCACTTTTTGAATTTACATACCCTCCAATGCAAGTTTATTTGTACAAGGCTAAATCGCCATTTCTAATTAGGGATTAACAAAATAAAAAATAAATTTTGTGTGTGTTCTTCATTATATACTCTATTATCTTTCTACCATACACTTAAAAATAGCCCATTATTTTATTGCATGCCATACAAAAGTGCACTCTTAATACACTTTGTCTCACAGTCACGCTAAATTATCCACGAATGCATCATTCAATCCAATGTCATCAGAAACAAAAACAAACCACTGCTCTTTCTGATCTTAAAAACTTACTGTAATTTTCATGCAGACAAAGAATTCAAGAAGGTATGGCAGACTAGATCTGTTGCAACTCTTGGTAATGCAAGTTTCACTTTTAGCAGGAATTTACTGTACTACCACTCATAGTGATATGTGAGAGTACCTGCTGCATGTAACTGTTCTGCCAATTCCTTTGCTCTGCTGGGATCCACAGCATAATCATTCCGTACTCCCTAGAAGCAAGATGAAACTGACATTCTAGAAGCAGAGAGCTTGCACCCATTAGAGTCCATGCAATATTCTCAAGTGTAGTTACATTCATGTGAACACCTGTAACCATACTAAACTCAAAGTTCTGGTGCTGGTTGTATGCCAGATGGTGAGGCAAGTGGTTCATGCAGTACTGGTTCTACTACAAGGGAAAGGTGAAGCAATGGTGCTAGTTATGAATCACAAGTACTGTTTGACCCCTTCATCAATACATATTTCGCTTCTAAATAAATTGTCTGAGAGAGGAGGAATATGGAAGGAAAATAAACCATTTCAGTGCCACATGAGACATTTGTGGGAAGTTCAAACTCATAAACCTTTCTAAAAGCGTGTGTGGCCTAACTTTCATCTGTTGTGACTTTCTTTCATTTCATGCATCCTGTTGTGTTATAATAAAGAAATTATGTTCTGACTTTCATGGATAGGCATGAGTTTTACTTTCATCTTTGGATTTAAAAGGAATATACAGTGTTATCACATATATGAAGGATTCTATGCTTGTCATATGAAGGCAAAGTTTCATTTTAATGGCATGAATATCACAAGTAATGTCATTTGCATTTGCATACATCAGATATGAAAGAAAAAAAGGGAGTATATATGGGAAATTGGACTTATATCAGCTACTTAAAGACTTAAAGAAAGCCTATGATTCAGTATTCTCACTGAGTTTGGTATGCCCATGAAACTAGATAGGTTAATTAAAGTGAGTTAAATGAAACCTATAGTAAAGAACATATGAGCAAACATTTGTCTGATATGAACATATACAATTTACCGTTAATGCAAAAATACTTTATTATTTATTTACTTGTTTATATACAGTTCGGTAATGGTATGTGAGAAACTTGCAGCACCTGAAGATGATTCATTTGAGGTCGAAACATGTAGTGTGTGCTACATAAATAATTAAATCAAGTATTGTTGCATTGGTCGTAAAATTGTATATGTTTATTGTATATATGCAACAGGATGCAATCCTTAAAAATAAAAAAAAAAGTCTGACATATTCCCTATTCAAAACGGTCTGCAACAGGATGTTTTATCGCCACTGCTTGTCAACTTTACTTTAAAATATATTAGGGAGATACGGAACTACTAGGTATGAGTGAGACTGAATGGGACACATCAGCTTCTGATCTATGCTCATGATGTTAATTTATAGCGGGACAATATAAATATCATAAAGAAAAACACAAAGCTCTAGTAGGTGTTAGTAAGTTAGTCTATAAGTAAACAGGGAGAAAACAAAGTATATGTTGATGCCTCATCATCATAATACAGGAAAAATTTGTAACATAAAGATAGCTAACACGTGGGAGTGGCAGTAACAAATTAGAATGTCTTTACCGAAAATAATTAAAATCAGATTAAATTCGGGGAATTCTTAATAGTATTCAGTTCAGCATCTTTATTCTTCTCACCTGCTATCTAAAAATGTAAAGACTAATACATGTAAAACTGTGATTTTTCCTGTAGTTTTGTATGGGTGTAAAGCTTGACTTGTCATGCTAAGGGACGAATATAGACTTGAAATGTTTGAGAACAGGGTGCTAAGGAGAATATTTGACCCACAAAGCATAAAATAAAAAAGTGGCTGGGAAAATTGAATAATGAGGAACTTGAGAACTAGTACTCCTTCACAAGTATTGTTAGAATGATCAAGTCAATAAAGATGAGATAGGCAGAGATGTAGCAAACATAGAAGAGGAGCGCACATAGGGCTTTTGTAACAAACGCTGAAGGAAAAATATCAGTAGGAAGACCCAGACATAGATAAAAGGATATCATTAAAATGTGTTACAGAAATAAGATGAGTGGATGTGGATGACTGGATTCATCAGGCTCAGTATAGGGCCAAGTAGCAGGCTCTTATGAACGTTGTAAGAAGCCTTTGGGTTCCACAAAATGCTGGGAATTTACTGAGTGGATGAGCAACTACTGGCTTCTGGACTCAGCTCCACTGAGTTATTTAGGTAACGGCATTGTGGGTCTATAGGGACTAATATTCATGTCTACGTGATTTATGCTCTAGTTACTTAGAATTCAATAAGAACTTATTAATTCTAATCTACTAAGAACTACTTAATCTACGCTGGTAGATTTAAAGCATTGGACTTACAGTAACAATGAGAGTAAGAAGTCGTCGGAAGTCTCCAGATGTTTCACTGCACATATGCTCTGCTAATGGACGATCATACACTGCAAAAGTCAGGGATGACACATGTAAGAACTGCACACAGTTGACTTTAGATACATAAATGTTACACATATATCATTTTAACAATAGAGACATCCATAATATGGCACAAATAAAAAAGACGAGGAGGAGGAGAACAAAAACAAGAACAACAACAAAATGTGAGTATAAATAAGTGATACTGATGAAGTACTTGTTCAAATTCAACGGGAATTCTGATAGATGTCAATTACAGGCATTTTTTCTTAATTTTTTTTGTTATACACAGTTTAGGGAGTAAATATTTTCCAATGAAATTTAAACTTAACAATTTTCTTAGGTTTGTGGAGAAGACATTTAAAATTAGCTATTTTAATTCTGTTCCTTTTTCAATTCAATATAGGGCAGGGCTTGAAGTGGGGCGGGATGCGGTGGGATGGTATCCCAGTTCTTTTCTAAATGGCTTAAAAGCATCCCGTTACTTCTTTGGCAGTAAATGCCTATGAATTAAATGTCTATGAGTTAAAAGGGGAAAACCATCCCGGTTCTATTTTCATTCCACCTCAAGCACTGATATAGGGGGCACGCGGTAGCATAGTTGGTTGAGTCACTATGCTGAAAGCTGGAGGGTTGTGGGTTCAAGTTCCAATGAAGTCACTGAATTTTTATCAAATGACCTAATCCCTTGAGCCACAATATTGCACTGGAGTTGATTCAGCCTTCAACAGAAATGCGTACCAGGAAGATTCTTGGAGGGTAAAGGAAGGTGGAAGGCGTGTAAGGCTGACAGCCTTACTGCTATCTGTAAGCCGATTATCTAGAAGATGTGGGAGCCTAAACCTCTCACACCCCTATGGGCCTTCACAGCCAGTTACAGGGATAGCTTACCCTTTTCTACTACATTTATCATTTTATAAAATAGGGCAGAAATATGATTATAGTGCAGTACTAATTAGAAGCTTGTGCTCAGAATGCAGGAAAGTTACTGTTCAATGATTTTTGTGTAACCAAATTAATTGTCAGTTTTCAAGACATCATGTCCCACTCAGCTGACTGTCAGGTCCCAGCAATTCAGAATAATGTCCTAAAGAAGACTGCTTCCTTATATAGATTTATGCTGGTAACTAAAGAGTACTGCTGCTGTGAGTGCAAGAACCACTGCTCTAAACCTAGACTCATTAGATACTTACACCTCTCATATGCATCCACAATTTCCTTTATTTCCTTATTGCTCTTGCTGCACAGAATTTCAATCAGTGTGTGTTCATCAGTGCCCATCCCTTCCATGGCCTTGTGCAGTTGTTTACAGAGGTAGTCAGCTGGAGGGATCACCAGCGCTAAAATCACATCTTCAAAATGTCCACCTAACTCACTCTTTAGGTCCTCAATCAGATCCTGTAAATCAATATTCTGACACTGAAGCAGCCTTGATATTCAGTTGTGCTACAATATTGTCATGCGTCTGCGTGTAACTATAGACATAGGTTGGATTGGTAATCAAATTTACACAACATACCCACAAATAAACTACAACAGTTTCACTGAGTTACACACTCCAATGATCACTGTAACTACAGCACACATGAAGTCTTCTCTAGCCGTTGCTTGGCAGCGGTTTCCAAAGGTAGATGTTCCCCTTCCTCAGGGTTCCCAAATGGTCCCTGCCCATGGCTACCAGATTATAACAGCAACAGCTCACAACAGAATCGAAGCGGTTTTCTAACTCACTATCCTCTTCTTTAACTCCACTCAAACTGACTTAAAAGTTGCGGTATCCAGTTGTTGTCATGGAAACACGCTTGTTTGTGATGCTGTTACTTTGTAACGGCTGTTGTATATTTGCTTATGCTGCAGTCATTGCCCAGAAATGGGTCTATATGCCACCTGCCAACTCTCATATGAACCTTATGGAGTCCTTTAATGAGTGATTTGCAATCATTAGTGAAGTATTTATGTTCTAATAGAATTTTTATTTAAATTTATTAATCCTTAGTTGTAATTTTTTGAAAAATAATTCTGCATAATTAGTATATTATTAACAGAAAAGGGCACGAATGTGCATTACATAGATTCTGGGTTTTAGCCTTTGCTATAATCACACAGAGATTTATGGTTGTTTTTACATCTTGTGATGTGGTATACATCACAGAACTGATCACATAATGAGCACACGCAGTTTTTGCTTGGGTCGTGATAAGACATGTTTTTACATATTTTATGGTGGAACCCGTGCACTGCTAGTTTTATCACCACATGTCTTAGTATAATTAGTATAAACTATGGATTAATAAATACACTGTAGAAGACATTGAAATAATAAGAATAAAGATTTCAAAGTCACAATTTTGTAGTGATCAACCACACAGATATACGAGAGAACTCCAACATTTTGGAGACACTTAGCCTCTAACAGTCCATTGATGTGTTCACCATTCTAGCTTCATAACTGGAATCAATGGTCCAGATTTAGACTTAAGGGTTTTATATAAAATAAACTCCATAAAACAAAAATTCAAATCGTGTAACAAATTTCATGTGTAGACATTCTCAAGTAAATGTCTGTGAACTCAGGATTTATGGACAAAATGTAGAAAATCTGTCAATAATTTTTATACAATAAGAACCTATGACTGCAGATTTGTTCCTCTAACTTCACAACTTTATGAGATACAACATCATAAACATCTTTATACATGCATCAGAATTTTATATTGCACATGCAAGGCTTTCTTTACTGATAATATGCAAAAGTATATCACATTAACATCTTTGTCAAAAAACATAGTAATAATAAAAAAGGGACTTAAAAATCTGTCATTAAACTGAGTGGCTAAGAGTTTTAAATAGGAACAGGTTCATATTACCTCTTGCATTTTTTGAGATTAATATTTTGAGGAAGAACTTAAAAAGTAGTTCACCATTCTGTTATGTTTGTGCATGGCCAGCTTCCTTCTATAAAAAATGAATAAAATATTCATCCATTCATACATGTTACAGGTACATATGCACTTTCCCTCAGATTACAAGTACTGCACATTTAAATCTCGCCAAATATTCAAGAAATATCAAAACTGTTATATTAAGTTGTTGTTATCTTTTTAAAACCTTAATTTCATTTTCCTCTGAATTTGATAAATGATGTGCAATAGAACTATATATTGAGGTTATCAGTAAAGAAACCTAATTGAAAGAGTTTCTCACAGTGATAATTATTTGAAGGACGAACGGTGGAATGTCAAAGGGGTAGTAATTGGTAATTAAAATACAATGACATATATAAATCAAAGGCACAGTGGCAAAGTGTGGGTCAAACCTGCCAGCACATCAACAGAAAAGTTTCTGAAGGTATAAAGATAACCCTGAAAGACAAGGGTCAGGCTAATGAACTTGCTATGGTCCTGGAAACCCTCTACATCAGATCAAACAAGTTTTAACAGCCTGATGAATCACATTTTGATATAGAACTTAAAGAAAAATACTACAAAATTCACCCTTATGAAGGTAATGCAATCAGCTAACAACATACATCTAAAAAAAGTGATACAGATCAATTCCATGAACTAAGACTAGATGTTTGATGTCAGCTATGAAAGCCTAAGATCAAGAAAGGTAGAAGCACATGTAGTTTCTTACTCTGCCATATTCTTCTGTGAAGAACTTTGCAATTTGTTGGCGCTGTATGTTTGAACGTTTAGTAAGGATATCGATGATGGCTTGCTCATCTGTGCCGAAGCCTTTCATTGCAGCCCTGAGCGCCATGCCATCATCTGCTGCACTGAATCCAGAGGCAGGAGTCACAGTGGGCTGTGGCTAAAAGACAGAAACAGTCAACACCAGTCCAGTGTGGACAATCATTACTACTTGATTAAAGAATTCCCCTTTGATTACTGACATTTCATGCCATTTACCTGACCACTGGAATTACTCATCTATTTTCTATCCTCAAGGAGATAAAAGAAGCTTATAAGATCACCATGCTGTTCTATATTTACATAGTCTACAATAAGTAATAACGCGGTGGATGGGTGGGTAAACTTGTAACATGGGGATGACAGTTTAGCACCACACAATTTAGAGACCTGAAATCATATAATGTAACAGCCTATCAACGCGATTTTTTGTGAAATGTACAATAACACATTGACCATGCAAAATATTTCTTCTGTTATCAGTTTCATGGTGCTGACTAATAGAGTACTCGAACTAGGCAAGTGAAATTTGGTATGGACATAGATCATACACATAATTACTACATTTCAGATATGAAATTTTGCTTGTAAGTTTACAATTACAAACATGTTGAAGATGAAAAGCTCATAGGTCATATCGGACAAATTTAATGTACACAGATTCTGTACATAAATAATTATCTGCTCTCTGAAACGAAATGAAATAAAACAAAATAAAATAAAGTTAAATTAATATACAACAAAGAGAAATAAATTAAAATAATAATATTCACAGATCTGTTGGGCTACAAATCTGTACAGTAGGGAAGTACATATTATGAGTTCTGCAGAGAACTTGTCTTTATTACTTTTCTACAAACACAAAGTTCATAACAACCATGATACTGATTACTAGTATTCTCTTCTATGGAGAAAAGCAATACAGAGGTAAGTCTTCAAGAGACATGAGAAAATAGAATGAAAAATAAAAAGTTACTGGAAGAAATGAATGTTCCTCCAGCAGTGTTAAGGAACCTAGAAAACAGAGTGCTGAGATGGTACAGCTATACTAAATGACTGAAGAAAGAAAGATAAAAAAAATATGCTACACTAGTTCCACAAGGAGGAGGAGGAGGAGGAGGAGGAGGAAGAAGAAGAAGAAAAAAAAAACGAAGGGGGCAACCTGCAAATAAGTAGAAAACACATATTAAATCCTTTATGGAAGTCTGAGGTGTGGGAAATGGAGACTGGGAGAAGGGATTACTGTGGCAAATGAAGTTGACAAACTTATGAAGAGCTGGGTAAGAAAGAGTGAATTCTTACCATGGTCACCAAGCCCAATAAACAACAACTACTATCCATGTTTCTATATTTTACATATTTTATATTTGACAATAATTTTAATACTTGTATTTATAAAAACTCTTACAATATTTTATGATAGTTTGAAAATAAATCCATTTAATTATACAATTCTGAAATAGTGTGTTATATTTATTTATTTACATGTATGTACACTTGATGATGGTCCTCAGACTGAAAGATGTAGTGTGAAAGTTACAATAAACTGACTGTCACATTATACATACACTCTAATCATTTATAAAACTATAATCAATCCACTTATTGTTGTGTACAGTATAGAAAGTAATTACAGTACTTTCTTAACCATGTGCAATAATACATCTCAACCATTATCACACTAATGTTCTACTTATACACAGAAATTCTGGCTTAAACCTACATTTCTGACTTTAGTGTGTGCTTCATCCCCACATGCCATTTCAACTGCAGTGACAAAAATTAACACAGTACTTACTGTATAATATTTTGCCATTGTAGTAGCTCACAGATCTGTCTTCCTTTGAAGTACCAGGCCAGCACAAGTATATCTGCTTACTTTATAAGAGGATGCTGATAAGAGCTGAAAATGATAATTACTATTACTGCTGTGAAATATAACTAATAGACCCTTTGAAAATGTGGCAAAGTAAGTACTCTGGACAACAGCAACAAATTGAAGTTATATTCAAGATGAACTTAGAGCAGACTAATTTTGAGCAATGTTTTCTGCAATTTATTTCATATATATTTATTCATATCTGACAATTTGATAATTAAATACAAAAATATTTAAGTGTGTACTATTTATATTCATGTGAAACTAGGTCTCAGATTCCAAAGAAAGGGCATAGACTGAGGTTGTCTGAAAATAAAATGTTGAAGAAGACATCTGGACTTTTGAGACAGGAAATAACAAGAGAAGAAATATAATTAATACTATTCAGCAAATACTGTTAGGGAAGATGATGAGATCAGCAGGACATAGAGCATATATGGGAGAGCTGACACTGTGTACAACGGTTTGATCATCTTAAACACCTGGAAGGGAGAGGCCATATGCAAGATCTAGATACAAATTGAGTATACTGGCAACAAATGCATTGGAAGTTGGTCAGCAAACCCCATAAACGGTGGGCAGGTGAGAATTTGGAAGGAGGGTGTCAGGTCGTATCTGAATGTACCGTACTATCCTTGCATTTGTATGAGAGTGTGAGGAAAACCAAGGATAGACAGTAACACTGACGGAATCAAAGCAGTTTGTAAACACAAGCCTACAGCATTACTGCAACACTAGTATGCCTGGTGCTTTACTCTTACCATTCAGCAGTACTTCATATTCAAAGACACAGTAATGTGTGCAACCGATACCACGTGGGTAAATAACCTTCTGATAAATAAATTCAAATATGCCTTGTCAATTCCCTGTCACAATCTTCCCAGTCCACCATTTACCATCATACATCTAATCCCGGGTTAGCAGCCATTCTGATTGTTGTGTTTCAAATCTTTACCCACTCATATTTCATAATATTGTAGCGTGTATAGCCGTTGCTATGAAACGACAGTGAGATAGGCGGTTGTATTTATTAGACCCGTTTCTTGGCAACAGCTCGGTATATAAGTATCCTGGACAACGGTTACACATGCAACAGGGCAAACGGGGTCTTGCCTGTGCGGTCCCCTCTGAGGAGCTGTGAAGAAGAGAACCAGTTCAGTTGAACTCTGCAAGGAAGACTGAGAAGAGATGGCGCTATAGTTGACTTGACAGTTGACATGAGTTTTGAGAGGGGGCTGTGACAAGAGGATCTGAAGGCGTGAAGCTTAATAATCTCCACTGTTAGAAGCCGTTGCCAGGGTTCGGCTAGTGAAGACATAGCAGGCTGGAAAAGCTTAGCGGGTGCTGTGGTGATTTGTGAATTGTGGAGATTAGCGGTGGCCCTGTAATTACTTGTACCTACAAGTCTTGTGTATAAGTGGTCAATAAATCCATCCATGAATCCGAACCCCGTCTATAGTCACACCCCTAAATCGTGACAATATTTTCCTGTTTCATTCGTCGCTGCTGTGCAGTTGAAATAATGTGGTTAAATAACCTAAGAACCAATTATCTTATTCTACGTCACAAAACCTCTGCTGATTAAACCATTCAAACAGGTCATGGCTGCTTCCAAATCCTTCTCGTTTCACCATAAGTGTCCGTATTTAACGCTAAGTAATCTCCATAGTTGGTGAACGAAGAAGTTCATGGAGGTAGGCGTAGGCCCACTGGGGCTGTAGTGCCGAGGAAAAAAAATCTCCATAGTTGGTACAAGATCAAAAGTAAAGAGAACTAAATAAACCTTTACTGAACAGCAACACAAAAGCGAAGTCTGTTAGCGACATAAGAAAAAAATATTTTTTTCGAGAAGTCTTGCTTCAGCAGCGCTTACTGAGCGCCAGATGTTCACTGCCACTTGCAGGCGCTGCGCTTCGCGTTCATCTATATTTATACCAGCAGACATATGCGGTGCCCTAGACACGGAGTCTACGAACTCAGGGCCAGAACAGGCACCCTGAATCAAGGAGCCCGAACAACCAATGACACTGCTTCATTTTTAAATCCTTAAAGCTAAACTGAATCATTTTAAGTAACCAGTATGAAACTATGTACAGGCATGCCTACTTTTATTGCGTTTCGCACACTGCGTCTTTTACAAATTGAAGGTCAAGGAGTAATTTGGACTGTCAAGTCTTATTATTTAAGAAATACGTTTCGTAAGGCTATGGCTGCCATATATTGTGATTCCTCTGATGGTTCTGGGAAAAGTAAATTGAAAACCTTCTGGAAAGGATTCACCATTCTAGATGCCATTAAGAATATTCGTGTATCACGAGAGGAGGTCGAAATATCAACATTAAGAGGAGTTTGGAAGAAGTTGATTCCAACCCTCATGGATGACTTTGAGGAGTTCAAGACTTCAGTGGAGGAAGTAACTGCAGACGTGGTGGAAATAGCGAGAGTATTATAATCAAAAGTGGAGCCTGAAATTGTGACTAAATTGCTGCAATCTCATGATAAAACTCTAACGGATGAGAAGTTGTTTCTTACGGATGAGCAAAGAAAGTAGTTTCTTGAGATGGAATGTACTCCTGGTGAAGACGCTGTGAACATCGCTGAAATGACAACAAAGGATAAACCTACGTACAGCTGCGGCAGGATTTGAGAGGATTTACTCCAGTTTTGAAAGAAGTTCTATCGCTTGTCAACTGCTATCAAACAGCATCGCATGCTGTGAAAGGAACAGTCAATCGATTCGGCAAACTTCACCGTTGTCTTATTTTAAGAAACTGCAACAGCCATCCCAACCTTTAGCAACCACCACCCTGATCAGTCAGCAGCCATCAACTCGGGGCAAGATCCTACATCAGCAAAAAGATAACGACTCGCTGATAGTTCAGATGATGGTTAGCATTTTTTAGCAATAGAAAATTTTTAATTAAGGCCTGTGCTTTTTTTAACATAGTGCTATTGCACACTTCACGGACTATAGCATAGTGTAAACATACCTTTTATATGTACTGGGAAACCAAAATATTCGTGTGACTCGCTTTATTGCCGTGATCTGGAACCGAACCTTTAGTGTCTCCAAGGTATGCCTGTATTATAATTGATCTTACTAATTAACACCCAGAAGAAAATATGAAGCCATAAAAGCATACCCAAACATTTGTATTAACCTATTACCTACGTACACACAATTAAATACCAAAATCCACAACTACTTAGTTGTCCTAAAAGCGGTTACAGCGTAGCACTATCACCACCACTCCCAAACTACCACTTCTAATATTTTTTTTCCTTGGCACTACAGCCCCAGTGGGCCTAGGCCTACCTCCATGAACTTCTCCGTTCACTTCGGTTTTTCTAGATCTTACACATTCGGTAGGACTCCTTGGGTGGGTGATCAGCTCGTCGCAAGGCCTCTACTGTATGCAAACACAGAAAAACGCACACATACAAACTTAACATCCATGCTCTGAGTGGAATTCGAACCCACGATCCCGGTTTTCAAGCGAGCGAAGACAGTACATGCCTTAGACCGCTCGGCTACCGTGACCGGCATGTAGTGTGATTAGTATAAAAAACTGATTGGCTTACTACTCTATTTGATTCAGTCGTCTTATTATATACTAATTAAATCCACGTTTGTTGTATGACGGTACAAACCCTAGTATTTACATACATACCAGGATGCATAGCACAAAAAAATTACATACCTTACGTGTATATTCATAATTTTAATAATGTCTCAAATGGTTAAGGGCGAAAGTCTGGTTGAAATTAGACTAGTCGTGTCCAAATCGTGGACAAATATAAGCGTATGGATAAATGGTTTCAACAGGTTTTCGAGGATGTCGTGACCAATTTCGTCAGAAAAAAACGCGAATGCATTGAATTTTGATGCGGATGCTTTGGAATAAGTATAAGGCGATTCAACCACTTAATACAGAAACGTACGTATCCACAAGTACCATAAACTGTGTGGGGATACTTGACGAGCAAGGATCTGCTATTCTAGGAGGACTGTGTTCTATGTGAGCGATGAATCCGTCCCCTTGCATAAACCGTCTGTCGTCAAAACAGTACTGTCCAGATGGTCCAGACGAACTGTAACGTCACTGAGATCACACACAATAAACATTTCTGCAGAACCGACAGGTCAGCTATACAGCCATGTGGCAACATCCTGTTGTTAGCCCATACTTCATAAATGAATGAAGTGACATCTGAAGGTACTAACTGTGCTTAATTCGTTACGTTGTAACATCCCCATGAATTGTAATTTTATCTACTGTTCTTCATGGGTGTGAACTTGGTCTCTCGTACTAAAGGACAACATTCAGGGAGGGTGTTTGAGAACAGGTTACTAAAGTCAATATTTTCCCATCGCGGTGGCCCGGGTTCGATCCCGGGTCTGGTCAAGTTGGATTTGTGGTTGACAAAGTGGCGCTGGGGCAGGTTTTCTCCGAGTACTTCGGTTTCCCTTGCCAATCTTCATTCCACCAATTGCTCCACAATCACCCTCACCTATCATCTGGGGCTGGTACAACAGTACAAGTGGCCGCAGTGCAAGGGACTTGGTCCCACCCCACTAGCAATAAAAAAAGTCAATATTTGGGTGTAAGAGAGAAAAAGTGACAGGTGGCTAGAGAAAACAGGATACTCTCGAGGTTTGCAATATGTATTCTTCATCAGACAGCCTATTGTTACGCAGATCAACGGAGGAGAATGAAATTAAAAGTGGGGGGGGGAGAAGTAGCACGAATACAGAATAGATACACAATTTTGGTCGACAAATTTGAAAGGAAGAATCCACATGGAAGACCTAATCGTAGGTGGGAGAATAATATTAAAATGGACCTCCAAGTAATCGAGTTCAAGAATACTCACTGGCTCCATCTATATCCAGTAACGAGCTGTTTTGGACGCGGTAATGGAATATAGGGTTCAACAGAAAGCGCGAAATTTTAATTTACTGAAGAAATTAGTTTCACGGATCTACCCCCTTTACATCACCTCCGAGCTGACAGCTTCCCTCT